CGCGCCAGGCGTGGACGAGAGACGGTGACCGGCTGTTTGTGTCTGTTGCAGGCGTTGTTTTGTACACGTTTCTTCACTTTCACTCGACGTCGGCCATCACCACCAGCGTGTTCCTCGGGCTGGGCATTCTGTTCTGCGGCGGCGCCACCGCCCACAACGTCGCCGTCTGGCACCGGGTGAGCGCTCGTGCACGCCCGCCCTCCGCCTGGCGGCCGCGGCCGGCCCGCTCGGCTGCCGCCGCGCTGCAGATGAGTTGAGTCAGCCGCGCCGCAATTAGCCGCAGGAGAGCCTGCGGTCTGCACGCGCGTGGCCGCGGAACGAGTCTGACGGCCCTTTTAAGTTTTTTTCTGAAGTAGCGGCTGCTCGCGGCCGCGTGTAATCCGGGCGTCGTTTTCCCGTGTCTTGACGTGCATGTCGGCTGGGATTCTGCCTCGTCTGGGCTTGAGCGGCAGCGCGCCCCGCCCCTACCGCCGGAACGCGGTGTGCCGCCGCCGGCCGTTCGGGGCGGGCGGGGCTCAGTCGCCGTGAGCGCCGCTCGGCCGAACTCCTTGCCAGCCACGCAGGGCAGGGGTGGCCGGCTGGCAGGAACGCCGCGCCAATGGGCCGTGAAATCGTCGGTATTCTGTGAGGGGCGTGCAGGGGAGGGTCGTGATCGGTGCACGAGTATTTTCAGGAGAGAGATGCTGTCTTGGCGCGTGGTCCGTTTGACGTCGGAGCACGTCAATATACCCTCGGTCTTATCGTTCACACAAACGACAAAAAGATGGGTCTTTACCCAACCGTCATGTCATCGATCATCGTTCCCTTCATCCTGTGCGTTATCTTGTGTCTCGTGCATTATGTAAATCCGAAACATTTCGAATGGCATCCCGAATGGCTGCGCTCCTTTTCACGCGCTTCGTTCGAACATAGACTACGATGCTTCGGGATAAGGCATGCTTAAAGATGTCTTCAGCTGGCATGCCCTGTTCATCTGTCAGATTGCCGGCCTCTCCAACTAACCGCCGCCTTATTTTCTTTAGACAGATCTCTGTTGCACTTTGTGAAGCATGTAGTTGAGCTTTGAGCCGGCTTCCCACGTTTTGCCCGGCGTCCTCGGGCGACCGAGCCCGGATCCCATCCGTCTGGGACGGCAGCGCGCGGCCGACGGGCGTCATTCGTCGATCGCCAGCGGCCGCGGGTCCGCCGAGCGTTCCGCGAACCGGGCGGCCGTGTACCGTTGCGGCCGGCGTCGGCCGGCGGCCGCATTGAATGACGGGTCGACGGGATGGCGGCTAACGGTGCGGCCGTGCAGCGCGCGCGCGCTCTGACCCGCCTCCGGCGCCCGCCAGGTGAAGCACAACCGGCTGGCCCGGCAGCGCGCCGTCCACCTGAAAGCGTCAACGCCGCAGCATGGCCGGGAGCCGGCGTACGGCGCGCGCGACCCCGGCTCGCCGGGCATGCCGTCCGCCACGCTCGACCTCAGCCGCCAGCTGGCCAACATCTCCAACATCCACGAGCTGTCGACGCTGGTGTGACGCCGCCCTCCGCGGCCGCCGCCTTCGGAGGCGGACCCCGCCGCGATCGGACGGGAGTGTGGCGAGACCGCTGCTCGGCAGAGACAAGAGTTCAAAGTCCCGCCCGTCCCCGAGTGTCGGCCGTCGTGGCCGGGCGGCCGAACGGTCCTGAGCCACGTGGCCACGGTGACGAACGCGCCCCGGGAGGCGCAGTGTGATCGAACCTGTCGCGGCGTCCGACGAGGCGGTGCGTCGACTCGCGGCCCTTGCTGGATATTATGCACAGCCGACTCCGCTGGGAGACGGCGGCGCCGAGAGGCATTCTAGTCCCTGTGTACTGCCGAGGCCGCGCCGCGCGCGCTGCCAGCTGTTCCGTGTAGTGTGCGTGTATTGCCTTCTCTGTACAACTGTCGCAACGTGAGAAGAAGCCATACGTTCAAACATGCATTTGGATGTACAATGTCTGTGTCTCCGTTCCGATCATCACCCGCCGTAGACGATGAGCGGCCGCAGAGCAGCGGCTCCCAGAGGGCGGTCGCCGGCGGCGAAGACGACGCGAGGTGAGGGCGCTCCGCCGCCGCGGCCGGCCGGTCGGTCGGCCGGTCGGCACGCCGGCCGCGCTGCAACCCGGCTCGCATGGCGCGCCGTGCGGGAGGAACGACCCGAACCCGGCCGGCGGGCTCCCCAACCTGTCCGCGCGCCGCACTGCAACCAGCACGGCCAATTAATCGGCCGTGCTGCACAGTGCACACCGCCCGCGGCGCCCGCTGAGTACTACCGGTCAGAGGCATGGTCAGCGCGTGTGGTGGGGAGGAGAGTGACACGCTGAGTACTGCCGGTCAGAGGCGTGGTCAGCGCGTGTGGTGGGGAGGAGAGTGACACGCTGAGTACTGCCCGTCAGAGGCATGGTCAGCGCGTGTGGTGGGGAGGAGAGTGACACGCTGAGTAATGCCCGTCAGAGGCATGGTCAGCGCGTGTGGTGGGGAGGAGAGTGACACGTTGTGCTGGTCAGAGGCATGGTCAGCGCGTATGGTGGGGAGGAGAGTGACACGCTGAGTACTGCCGGTCAGAGGCGTGATCAGCGCGTGTGGTGGGAGGAGAGTGACGCGCTGAGTTCTGTCGGTCAGGGGCGTGGTCAGCGCGTGTGGTGGGGAGGAGAGTGACACGCTGAGTACTGCCGGTCAGAGGCGTGATCAGCGCGTGTGGTGGGGAGGAGAGTGACGCGCTGAGTTCTGCCGGTCAGGGGCGTGGTCAGCGCGTGTGGTGGGGAGGAGAGTGACACGCTGAGTATTACCGGTCAGAGGCGTGGTCAGCGCGTGTGGTGGGGAGGAGAGTGACACGCTGAGTATTACCGGTCAGAGGCATGGTCAGCGCGTGTGGTGGGGGAGGAGAGTGACACACTGAATGCGGCCGGTCAGGACACGCTGTGAGCACTTCCGGTCAAAGACATGGTAAGGTGACATGCCAAGTACTGCCGGTGAGAGGCATGGTCGGCACGTGTGGCGGGAAGGAGAGTGACACGCTGTGCTGGTCAGAGGCGTGGTCAGCGCATGGAGCGGGGGATTACCACCGACGGGACCCTCACTGGTCAGGGATTGGTCTAACTCTAAGGAACTGCGGCTCGTGGCACCCACTAGCGGCTTTAGATGCTGAACCTTATCAAAAGTAATCTCAAGAAATGCTAACAAATGCTAACAAATAACAAGTCACAGGGTTTTAAGAAGCCTGCCTATCCGGAGCCTCTTACCCCGCCCGCGGTAATCATACACAAGTTGATTTGTGTGCATTTTATCTTCCCAAAAGTGGTTTGTTTGGCCAAATATCACAGGCTTGCATCACTGAATTCTTGCAGCCTTCTGTAACGGTTGGCGCCGGAGGGAGGGGCCCTCAGGGGCCTGTCGGCGGTTGCGTCACCAGCATGCATACGTCAGTGGTCATATGCATGCTGTTTCTGAGGATGACTCAAGGCCACGGATACGGATTAGCCGATATGAGTTACTATACTGCTGGCGGGCATACCTCTCCGCTGCGACCGTCCGGGCGGACTGAGGGTAGCCTACCACTACCTGGTACAGGCTGTGCGCACCGCTGAAACCGTCCGTGCAGACTGAGGGTAGCCCATCACTACCTGGTACAGGCCGTGCGCACTGCTGCGACCGTTCGTGCAGACTGAGGGTAGCCCATCACTACCTGGTACGGGCCCTGAGGGTAGCCCATCACTACCTGGTACAGGCCGTGCGCACCGCTGCGACCGTCCGTGCAGACTGAGGGTAGCCCATCACTACCTGGTACAGGCCACATGCACCGCTGCGACCGTCCGTGCAGACTGAGGGTAGCCCATCACTACCTGGTACAGGCCGTGCGCACCGCTGCGACCGTCCGTGCAGACTGAGGGTAGCCCATCACTACCTGGTACAGGCCGTGCGCACCGCTGCGACCGTCCGTGCAGACTGAGGGTAGCCCATCACTACCTGGTACAGGCCACATGCACCGCTCCACCGTCGTGCAGACTGAGGGTAGCCCATCACTACCTGGTACAGGCCATGCGCACCGCTGCGACCGTCCGTTCAGACCGAGGGTAGCCCATCACTACCTGGTACAGGCCATGCGCACCGTACGCGAAGTCAACGCGCATGCGATGCGTATTACGCACCGCACCCTCCCATGCCTTCCGCAGACCCGTCGAGGGCACGGCCTCTCGCGGATAATCGCTGGTTGGCAGACCTCTATACTACCAAACAAGACCCATGGCAATGTCATCGAGCCCAGATTTTCCATTCACAGTCAGTTACGGACCGATTGAGGACGTAATGTCTTCGACCGCCGAGGTTGTTTGAAACGCGAGGCGTGTGAACCCATTCCCACGCCAGCGATTAGTCTGCGACTGATTGACGTCTGTGAGGCAACTGGCCTCGAGCCAAGCTCACCGTCCTCCAGATGTCAGGGCCATGTCAACGCCGGACATGGGCGTCGCCTGTCCGCGGTCCGCCGCCGGGACGGTGGTCTGGTCAGGCCTGGACCACGGCAGCGGCTGCAGATCAGGCCCGGACCACGGCAGCAGCAGGTCAGGCCTGGACCACGGCGGCAGCAGGTCAGGCCCGGACCACGGCAGCAGCAGGTCAGGCCCGGACCACGGCAGCAGCAGGTCAGGCCTGCGCCACGGCAGCAACAGCAGGTTAGGGCGCCACGGCAGCAACAGCAGGTTAGGCCTGGACCGCGGCAGCGGCTGCAGGTCAGGCCCGGGCCACGGCAGTAACAGCTGGTCGGGCCTGGACCACAGCAGCAGCAGAAGGTCAGGCCCGGGCCACGGCAGCAGCAGGTCAGGCCTGGACCACGACAGCAGTTGCAGGTCAGGCCGAGACCACGGCAGCAGCAGCGGGTCGGGCCCGGACCACGGCAACAGCAGGTTGGGCCCGGACCACGGTAACAGAAGGTCAGACCCGTGCCACAGCAGCAGCAGCAGCAGGTCGGGCCCGGACCGCGGCAGCAGCAGGAGGTCAGGCACAGCACATCTAACCCGTGTGGAGCTTTTGTGCTCTTAGGCGTTCCGCCCCTTCCCTCATTTTAGCATCGGTACCCAGCATAAGATTCAATGAATTTTTTAAACGAGCCGAGGATAGCAAAGCCGAATCTCTCGAATTTCTGTACTCGTCACCCCCTCCCCTCCCCCCCCCCCCCCGATGGACATAGCGCTGGGTACCAAAGACCTTACTCCGTTGGTGTAGCGTTTGTCTGCCGCTGTGTCCCAGTGGTCGCCTACCCGGTCCCAAGCCGACCATTGGCGAGAACTAGCCGAGGGAGGGCCGACCGTCTCCAACTCTTGCTTTGGGGAGTGGCAGCGGCTGGCTGGGCGCGTGCGCAGAGTAACCGGCTCGACCATGGACCATTCCGTAGCAGACTATCAAACGGTTCCGTATCGGTGCGTCGCAGCACTTTAGACGTCCCGTCCTAGTGTGTTGTGCTGTGGAATGATTTGTCCGCCTCAGTGCGTCCTTAAAGTACTGCCATCTCGAGTGTCCCCAGACTATTGCCGTCTCGGCGTGTCGCCAGACTACTGCCGTCTCGGCGTGTCTCCAAAGTATTGCCGTCTCGGCGTGTCGCCAAACTATTGCCGTCTCGGCGTGTCCCCCGAGTATTGCCGTCTCGGGGTGTCTAGAGTGTTGCCGTTTCGGCGTGTCCCCAGAGTATTGCCGTCTCGGCACGTGTTGCAGCGCAACGGTCCCGTTTCGGCCCGTACTGCATTTCAAGCGTTTCATGTTGGCACATGCTGCAAAGCAACCGTCCCGTCTCGGCGCACTGAATATCATACTTCCCTCTGTTCTTGCGCCTGCTGCACAGCGACCATACCCTCTTGGTACGTGCTGTACAGCAACCGTCCCGTTTTGGCACGTGCTGCAAAGTAGCCGTCCCGTCTCAGTACGTGTTGCAAAAGGCGTCCCTTCTCGACACGGGTTGCAGAGCAGGGGCTCTGTTGCAAATGGGTGACGCGTGCAATGGCTGCTTTTGGTCACTTTTCTCGCAGCAGACATCAGTGCATCATCAAGATTCATGTCTTGATTGCAACAACATGCGAGTGCTATTTGCTGCCTGCCTTGCCGTGGATGTACATACGCCAAGCTTTGAACTTCCGTCAAATAAACACGTGTCACGCCACACATCTATACGTTGGCCACCTATAGGCCTTCACTTCGCCACAGGGATGAGGAAAGCTGATGTGGAGATGGTTCTGGGAAGAACATCTTTCAGGGGAACAAAATGACGAGATTAGAACACTGCTCATAACAGCTGGCGTAGTCGCAGCTGCACCCGCCAGAACGCATGCTGCATCCACGTGGGTATTCTGCATCGTTGCATAGGCCAACGCTTTCCAGTGTTCACTGTCGCCAGATGGTGTTTAACGCGATATAGGTCGGATCTGGGCAGGTGGCTGGCAACCGCTGGAATGCCAGCGCTCATCCCCGCCCGTACGGAAAGCTAAGGTGAGGCCTCGGAGCCAAGACCGGCATGGCGCCGGCCGCTCCCAGCGACCGAGCGTGCTTTCTTCGCCGAGCCGGACGCATTGCACCAGACCCACATACGAACGAAGGAAAATGCCATGCTGGCGTTCACCAGCACGGAGGGTGCCGCGTGCCCGACACCAGCGCCAGCGGAGGCCGGCGGGCTGCGGGCGGCGCCGGCACCGGTCCGACCGCCGGCCTGACGTGGCGGCCGCGCCGCCGCCGCCGGCCGGCCACTGACCGGCGGGCGCCGCCTCTGCCGCCGCTGCATAGCTGGCCGCTGCAGGACCGGTGTCGTCTCGCCGGCTGCACCGGCTAGGCCGCCGGCCGAGGTCATACGCCGCGCCGAGCGGCGCCGGCCGCGCGCGCCGTAGCCCGACCCCGAGCCGCCAGACGTGCCTCTCGGCCGGCGAGCCCAATCAAAGCCGCGCAGCCAGCTCGTTAAGGGTATCGGAACCAGCCGTGCAATGGGTCGTGTGACCCACAAGCGTTTTTGTGCGGACTCTTGGGTAGCCGATGTTTTTGTTCGGCTGCATTCTGAGTGCCCGCGACCTCAGTAATCAAGATCGGCCTGTGCGATGGAGGGCTCGTATGACATAACTGGGCCGGCGGTCTTTTTAGCTCATGGGAGGCCAGAGGGACGCCAATGTGCCCGTAGTGCCTCATTTGTTATGAGCGAAGTGTTGCATGGAGTTCTCATACAGGCAAAAATCGACCTGCAATGCATACCGATTTCTTTGGATGCCTGTTGTGGTCTGCATCATGCATCGATCTCCGCTGCTTCAGTGCTTTGTGTCGGTTGTAACGGTTGCGACTTGTATTCCCTGTTGCCGTGGCTTAGGTCTGTGTCGACCGTTGCCGTGGCTGAAGCCTGTGTGGTCTCCTACCGTAGCTGAAGTCTGTTTCTACTGGTACTATGGCTGAGGCGAGGGTCGACCGTTGCCGTGGCTGAGGTATGTGTCGACCGTTGCCGTGACTGGTGTCTGCCTTGGCTGTGGCTGAGGCGCGGTCTATGTCGGCTGCCATAGCTGCCTCAGCGCCACCTGCTTGGACTGCTGCCGCGCCGGCGGCCGTTGCCGGCTGCTGTCGGGTCAGCAGGCTCAGCGGACATCAGCTGCTGCCGCGTCGGCGGCCGTTGCCGGCTGCTGTCGGGTCAGCGGGCTCGGCGGGCATCAGCTGCTGCCGCGCCGGCGGCCGTTGCCGGCTGCTGTCGCGTCAGCGGGCTCGGCGGACATCAGCGGCTGCCGTTGCCGGCGGCCTCGGCAGACATCAGCTGCTGCCGTGCCGTCGGCCTCGGTAGACATCAGCGGCTGCCGTACCGGCGGCTGTTACCGGCCGCTGTCGCGTCAGCGGGCTCGGCGGACATCAGCGGCTGTCGTTGCCGGCGGCCTCGGCAGACATCAGCTGCTGCCGTGCCGGCGGCCTCGGTAGACATCAGCGGCTGCCGTACCGGCGGCCGTTGCCGGCTGCTGTCGCGTCAGCGGGCTCGGCGGACATCAGCGGCTGCCGCGCCGGCGGCCTCGGTAGACATCAGCTGCTGCCGTGCCGGCGGTCTTTACCGGCCACTGTCGCGTCAGCAGGCTCGGTGGGCACCAGCGGCTGTCTGCCGGTGCGTGCTGCGCAGCTGGCGCCGACCGTTGGCGCCCCGGCTGGCTGCCCTGGGCGGGGTCGTGACGAGGCAGATGTGTCGGCCGCCGGCAGCGGCAGGCGAGTCCTCCCGCGCCGGCCGCCCCACCCGGCAGCGGACGCGCCGCCGACGCCACGCGGCCTCTGCACGCGCAGCGGCGAGCTTAGCATTCCGGGCACGCGTCGGACGCTCGCGCCACTAGTGACAGCTCATGCATCATACATAGGCAGGGACCAGCGAACCAAGCATGGACGGAGACACAAAGGAGAGTAGGAACGTCGAGCACCGGATCAAGCACGCGCTATATGCACGTGCTTCATCTTGCTGTAAAATGTGCGCCTGTGCATATCCTGAAGCCGAAGCTATGGCCAACGCTGGAGCTGACGGGCACACTGGTGACGCGGGACACCGTGGTCCGGGGAGGGGTAGCGTGGAGAAGCGGCCGTCGTACAGGAACATACAGGAACGTACAGGAACGTCGAACTTCGGATTAGGCACGCGCTAGATGCGCGTGCCTCATCTTGCTATAAGTATACGCCCGCGCACATCCTGAATCTCAGAGCTGTGGCCAACACCAGAACTGACGTGCACGCTGGTGACGCGGGACGCCGTGTTCCGGGGAGGGGGCGCGCGGAGCAGCAGCCCGCGCCAGGACCGGCTCCCGGCACGTGCCCGCTGTCCAGGTGGGCCGGTGGTAATGAGACGGCCAGGTGTCCAGCGGGTTGCCGCCAAGACAAAGCCGTGAACGGGGGGGGGGGGGGGGGGGGAGGGAGGGCGACGCGCCAGCCGCCGCCGACCGGCCGGTCGGCAGCCGGCTCTGGCGGTTTGGACCGAGGCGAGCGCTGGTGCAGTGTCCTGCTCCCATTGTCACTCCATACAAGCCTCACAATACATGGCATGTGTTGACTGATCACGCTCAGGCCCATTCAGGCTCTGGCCAGCGTTGTTGCAATCGCGTTAAAAAATGTCCAGCATGACGTGTGCCGTGGCACTGTGTAACGGCTCTCTTCTGCAGGAAAACGTGGGGTTCTGCTACTGGGGCGAACCTCAGCTCTTCTGCGCTGAAAACGTGGGGCCCTCCGAGACGTGCCCCAGGTCTCAAGTAGGACAACGTGAGGTTCCCCTGCTGGGGCGTACTTCAACTCTTCTGCGGGACAACATGGGTAGTCCCCTGCTGGGGCGTACTTAAGCTCTTCTGCGGGACAACATGAGTAGTCCCCTGCAAGGGCGTGTCTCAGCTCTTCTGCAGGACAACGTGGGGTCCCCCTGCTGGGGCATACCTCGGTAGTTAAACATACAGGCTTTGTGGTTGTAAAGGTATATTTGTATTGGGACGGAGTAGGCTACTTTTCGTTTGTCATCACTGGAGCATGCAAACAACCATTTATTGGCATCACCGAGTGCGGTAGACCAAGGCAAGGGCATAACCAACCTTTTGAGTGTGTAGCTATTTAAATCTGTTAGAAACTGAATTGTTTCCGTGACGGTGGGCAAGAGCAATCATCTTGCACCATTTTTGTGCCGATGAAGCGCCATCACAAAATCTGTTCCTCAGGTTTGAACACTCCTACATACTTAATAAATGAAGTACGCACATTTTCCGGAACAGAAACCGCAACAAGTGTCTGATTTGAAGTAAATCCACTTTGCCTATAAATTTGTACTACGCCGACATACGCATTTAGCTGAGGAAATACATAAAACGTTGAGGAATCAAACGCAACACAATATAGCAAAATCAGAAAATACACGGCACAACCGAGCACGAAGCGAAAAAAGTGGAGTACGCAGATGAGTGTACGACATTGCAAGAACATCAAGCATACAGGAATACACAGAATAACGTGCTTTACACCGCATGACACAGAGGCCACCGCACAAGGTATATTCAACATAATAGAATGCATTGCGGGCCACATCACGTGGCGTCCACGTAGTCCTTACAAATGCTTATCTCGCTCTCACAACTTTCCAAAACAAGCGATGCCGGCGGCACCACCTGACAACACAGCGAGCGCTCCAAAACTTGCGTCGCCTGTATTGCCTCGGGTATATTTGGTTCGTTGTTCCATTTCATTCACTCATCCCCCGTCCACACGGGCTAAACGTCCCCGAACATCCTTCACCACAGGCAAACCCCGCCAACACCGGGACGGAGAGCTGTCACAGGACAGCGGCTGGCAGGGCTCTCACAACCACAGCCATGGGTTCGGCCTCTCGGAAGTCTGGTCAGTCTCCCCCTCCCCCCGCCCCCGCCCCCACCCCCACCCAGTGAGCTTTGACGCGGGGAGACCCAGCCGGGGCAGTGAACAACGTTGTGCCGATTTAAGGCACAGTCAGTGAACTGTTGAACTGTTGATGAAAAACGCAGTGCGATAATGAAATGAACAGGAGATGAACTTGACACCGACGTGCAGAAGTGACTCGCATCGCACCGCTATGGTACATGCGAGTTGACAGACAATGCTGATGAAGAGAACAAGAGTTAGAATGACGCACGCAGGGTATGAATGGGAACAATTTCTTAAAAAATGGTATACATATATAAAACCAGACCAGACCACACAAAAATAATACGTGGTTAACCACGACAACCGGTCTCAGTATTTCGAGAAGGACGCTACATTACACCAAAACAACGGGTGAAAATTGTGTCACACTGAGTGTAAAATTACGCTCCGTACATCAAGGCACGCATAACCAGATCGATCCGTTCAGATCACTTCAACAAACCTATCCTAGATCGAATAACGCACGTCTCAACAAGGCCACCAACAACAGTTGACCGGCGATCACAGCGTTCATGCGTGGGGCGACGCTCAAAAGGCGGTAGTAGCAGTCCCGCCGCGTGACGAAACAGTGGAATGACCAAGTCAAATAGATCACAGTCAGTCGGTCGTTGTAGGCGTAAACAACAAGAGGTTTTTTGTTTGGAAGCCCATGCCATTCAACAGCCAGGGCCAGAAGACCCCGCAGCTACGCCACCTGCGTACAAAAATTCCGACTCTAGGTTGCCGGGCGCTGCGTTTGATGGAGCCACCGGCGCAGGAACTGGCCGATCACGCGGTTGGTCTCGTCAGGCGCCTCCAGCATGACCATGTGGCCGGCGTTCGGAATGGTCTCTAGAAATGCTCGTGGGATGGCCTGCAAACGATTACTCCGTTTAGTATCGGTGTAGCTGAGCCGCCGCAATGGAAGCGGGGAGGGGGAACAGAAGTCGGAGCCATGAGGCACAAAATGGGCTGGGCGGACTGCAATGGCTGGCAAAAATCCCATGAAATCAAAAACAGATGCTTTTTCTCACTTACCACTTCATCCTGAATCCTTGCAATTGAATATCGCCGCCAGCCATGAGTCGGTCTCGAGGCTGACCTTACGAGAGCACCACCTGTGCATGTTCGCCAACCACGAGGATAGGTTCGAGGAGGACGAGGTTCGAGGGGCAAAGCTCGACAGAACAGATCTTGCAGATGACCGCAGTGTCGCCCCAAGACACACTTATTTCCTTTAATCTCACAGATTCTAATCACGGTCGGAACCAGGCCATACCCAACCCTAAGTAGGCCAATGTCGGGCAGAAATAGCGCGTTTCCTGACTTTGAAGACAATGCAAGCAATGCTTACAAAAAGAAGCCCGTGCTCGGGTAGAAGAGGACAACAGTTAAAATAAAAATTACTCTGCGAAGCATCCACCATCACCAGGTCTTCCGGTCTACCAAACGTGATTATTTTTAAGGCTATCTCTACAATACACCTAAGTCCTTATTATCCAAATGTCACAACCAGAACCTTGAGTCCGGCTCTCACCTTTTCCATGTCGCACATCTCCACCAGCGAGACGAACTTGTCTTTCATGCCATGGACGAGCAGCGTGGGCAGCGTGATCTGTTTGTGGTAGCTGAGGTCCCCCTCCGGCCACACCTGCCACGCACGCGGCCACACGCTGGTCACATCATCGACAGCATCATCAACAGCAATGCAGCCTACCCTTCCGATGTAGCCTGCCCTCCGGTGCATGCCCTCCCCGGCAGGATAACCAGTGCTCGGCAGTGTTATGTTGACGGAAGTGGCGACTGGTTTACCACGCGCTCTGAAAGCTGACCCGGGGTCGTTGACTTAACGCGTGGCACGAGTCGTCAGGGGTGATCTCAAATTACTATCCCCTAGGTGATACGACTGTCATACCAATCAATGCCCGTGCTTCCCATGTGTGGACATTCCTTGCAAACAGTGTCTCTAGGGCTGACCATCCCGGGTCACCAGGTACACTCTACCACTCTTCCGACCGTTTGTCTGAAATTTGCATGGTCATGCCATTCTGAGCCCCGTGGTCCACCACAGCAGCACTCATACAGGCACGCAGCCCGTCGGACGTGTGCAGAGTATTGCACTGCTGTTTACGCTGTTTAAGGCAACACAATCTGTTCTGGGCCATCCCGATCGCCAAGTCAGGCCGGTACCGTCCGCCCACTGACGGGACCGCGACCACCGCCCCGGCCCGAGCCACTCACCTGGCCGGTACCGTCCGCCCACTGACGGGACCGTGACCACCGCCCTGGCTTGAGCCACTCACCTGGCCGGTACCGTCCGCCCACTGACGGACCATGACCACCGCCCCGGCCCGAGCTACTCACCTGGCCGCGCATGGTGTGGCTCAGCACGTACGAAGGCACGTCGAACCCCTTCTCCACCTCGATCAGCTTGCCACGCGGCGTGTAGAACATCTCCCGACTGCGAAGCGGACGGGCACGTCAGATTGAACACATCAGACAGGGCACGTCAGTCAGGGCACGTCAGACAGAGAACGTCTGGCGAGGCACGTCTGGCGAGATCGCGGCCGAACACGGCCAGCTGGCGGCTGGAGGACGGCGAGACCGCGGCGTGCCGGCGCAGTACACGGCGACAGGAGACCTCCGAGCTCGCCTTGACTGGGCCCGGGAAACGGGAGGGAGGGAGAGAGTGGCGAGGTCGGTGCGGCCCGAGATCCCCGCTGGCACGCGCGGCTCGGCAGGCCGCCACGCCGATCGAAGCGCTCACGTTTTGAAGCCGCAGATGAGCAGCGGCTTGAGACAGGTGAGCAGACAGATGGGCAGCGAGAAGACGTCGGTGGGCGCGGCCAGTGGCGTCGGGCCGCCGCTCGACACCAGCACCAGCAGCACCACGTTCAGATACTCCCGTGCCAGCACTGACGCGAACGACGAGCTGCCGACCACAGGGAGCGTCAGCACCGGCGGGCCGGGGCACGACCGGTGGTGATCACCGCCGGCCGGAGGCCACGTATCGAGATTAGCCGGTCATGGGCTCTGACCCGCCGCCACCATCCGTTGGTCTAACATATGAGAGGATTTTCGAGCGTGAGCGCTGCCATGGTGCTGATCCATTATTTCTGAGCATTTGAGTTGTTATAATCTGCTTGGACCTTTTACCCCAACCAAATGTTTGCCTCGCGTTTACGACAACTGCAATCACTTAAGTACCTCAAGTGCAGCATAAGTACTTGCTGCGGTGCACATGAGCGCATAAATCTGTCACGGTCCAACTCCACGCCGCCTGTCACCGTAGGGACGGTACAAAAGGCGCGGGGCTCGAGTGCAAAGCATGTTGTTCTAATGTTATCGGCTCTCTATGCCGTGTAACCTCCGCCTCCGCCTCCGCCATACCCGTAGGAGTGTCCGATGACCACCACACGGCGCCGGCTCGTGGCGTACTTCTTGAAGACGCTGCGCACGTGCTCCAGCATCCACTGGAAGCTGTAGTGACGCGGCGAGCTGGGCGCCGACGAGAAGCCGTGTCCGAGCAGGTCCGGCGCCACGCACTCGTACCCCTGGGCAGCGGAGGAATGTGAGGTAGGAGGGTGACACCATGACGCCACGCTCTCGTACCCCTGGGCAGCGGAGGAGTGCGGGGTAGGAGGGTGACACCCTGACGCCACGCTCTCGTACCCCCGGGCAGCGGAGGAGTGCGGGATAGGAGGGTGACACCATGACGCCACGCTCTCGTACCCCTGGGCAGCGGAGGAGTGGGGTAGGAGGGTGACACCCTGACGCCACGCTCTCGTACCCCTGGGCAGCGGAGGAGTGCGGGGTAGGATGGTGACACCATGACGCCACGCTCTCGGGAGGGGTGCGGGGTAGATAAGTCACACCATGACGCCAAGCTCCCGTACCCCTGGGCAGCGGAGGGGTGCGGGGTAGAGGGGTCACACCATGACGCCACGCTCTCGTACCCCTGGGCAACGGAGGGGTGCGGGGTAGATGGGCCACACCATGACGCCACGCTCTCGTACCCCTGGGCAGCGGAGGGGTGCGGGGTAGAGGGGTCACACCATGACGCCACGCTCTCGTACCCCCGGGCAGCGGAGGAGTGCGGGGTAGGAGGGTGACAACATGACGCCACGCGCTCGTACCCCCGGGCAGCGGAGGAGTGCGAGGTGGGAGGGCGGCACCACGACGCCACGTTCTCATACCACCATATTTGAATTTTTGGGACGCTTTGACTACGGATACTGATGATGATGCATTTTGTTAGAACGCGCACTGGTTGTCTTGATCATATCGCGCCCACAACTTACTTCTTAATAAACGGATGAGTGACAGCAGCAAGGGGACGGGGTTGCGTCACATATATGGCATGCAACCGTGCGTCTTCAAAAGATGGGAAATATAGCCATCCTTGATCAACCTCGGGTCATCCCCGAAGATGACGGAAAACGTCCGGTGCACGAACCCAAAATGATACATGCATCCCGAAGTGAGCTCGCAACTTCGGAATGTGTGTGGACCAACAAGCCCTTGTTGATTGTACGGCTCTGTCAAGACCAGCCGTGCGGTATAACCGCCTCACGTCGAAAACCTGGGCCATTTGGCGTCCACTACTGAGCAATGCATCCATCATGAGTTCGGTGGGGGCGGGCGTTACGCGCTATAGACGCGCTAAACCATCACCCTGGATCATGCACATAAGAGCTCGTGTCTTACTACGCGAGGGGGCGTCAAGCGGGCGAATATAATATTTACGTTCACACGCTTCGTGCAATTTAAAACCACCTCGAGTGAGAGTAATGATAAGTATAACAGATGGGATCCTCGCTGATAGGAAGCAGCAGAGAGAGAGTCACCGTAGAATGTTAGGGCCAAGTTATCGACTTACTCAGTTTCCAGACAGCGACACTGTTCGAGCATGTGGAAGACCGACAGTCTGTGATCACAGCGAGGACACTTGGGTGCTTGAACTCCAGAAAGAACATAACTCTGGGTTTCATACGGATGGCCTGTACGGTGACAACAGACTAGCTTCTTCCTTACTGTGGCCCAGACGGGAACATTGCCAGCCACCTATCTTGCCTTTAATGGAACTGATCGTGTCTGGCATTGCTGCCGTCGTCCATACTGAGCTGGTTCCAGGCATGTTGCCAGCGGTTCTTAATGGGAGTGTTCCAAAATTGTATGGATTGACATGCCTATCTTGAAGCTCATTCAGTGCAGTTCACAGCCCTGCCCTTATTCAGACCTAAAACCCTCTAGTTGGCAAGCTACACGCCGGTGCAAGGGGGCGGCGCGGATGTGCGGATCATTTCGAGCGGACTGTTTAAAGGTCACACAGGATACCATGACGTAATAATAGCGTTCATTAAAATCCTGTCATTCTATTGACCATGCGGCGATCCAGGTCGATAACTATTGGGTCGCTCAGATCTCGCGTTGGTGAGCACAATGTCCTCATAAAATAGACGTCAATTGACTCTCAATCAATGTTGTGCAAGGAACGATGACGTAATCAAACAATGACGTACTGAGGAGCATACTTACTACACAAAGAAATCGTGCTGCCAGCGAGTTTATTCCGTCCTATCTAATGCTTGCATTAATACCTCCAAAAGTGGGACATTCCCTTTAACGCCAGCAGACAGCAACTCATCTAAATCAGAGTATGGTGCCCGAGCGGAGCGGCGTCCAGACCGGCTGCGCCCTCCTTAGAAGCAGTGTCGGCTCTCTCGTTTCTGACAAGCCCGCGGTGTGCCCCAAATACATGCAAACACGACTTGCCTTCCGCTCTTTCAAAGTGACACCACTTGCCCTACGATTTGGTCGGCCAAGGCGGTGTCTGACCATTTCGGTAGCGAGGTTGGTTAGTGCGCGTGCCAACATAGGTTGGAGGCCCATGGTTCAAGCCTGCCTTCGGTGGGCTTTCCCCCGACGGCTCCTGACAGCAACTGGTGAGTGTCCGCCCTGCCGCGGGGTTAACACTGAACCAAGCAGCGGGTGATTCTCTCGGTGTTCCTCAGCATACACCAACGCCTGTCTTACGGCACAAAGCTCAGCCGTGACCATCGAGCGGTGCTGGGACAGCCTAAGACATAGTCCAGTCGCCAGACAACACCGAATCCTGTGACCTTTGCACATTTGTAACCATCTGTGTATGCTACGTACGTACGTATGGTGCTTAATATTCACACGCGACAAAACTCGTGGCGGAACTCCTCAGCAGTCGTGCATCTTTCCCCCGGCGCGCACAGATCTACCTCACAGACAGGTGCCGCAATGTCAAAGGTGGGCAGGCTGGTCCTCTGGGTGCAGTGACATCCTCCGGCCTCATGCCCGCGTCTTGAAACCTTTCGTCAGCTCGCACACAAATGGCCTAAGAAGCACTGACTCCGCCTGATGTCAACAGCTGGGTCCGACACCGGGGATAATTCTCTAAGCTGCCGGGCGTGTCGGACAATGAGCAGCCCTCAGGCAATAGCGCGAACTGAACATCGCGCGTCCGGGTGCCAAAGACGGCTTGTTTGCCTCGGCCAGAACACTGCCGATGGGGATGCTTCGGAACACCCTGGTCGCAAGCGCGTGCAGTCGAAGTGTGTTGTGTCCAGATCGCGTTTAGCTGAATCACGCGCTGAGTCACAGGCCTGATACCTGCACTCTAGCTCTGAACGAGTCAGCACCCTGTACGGTGGTGGTCACCGCTTGGGAAACGAACGTCGGCATCGAAGTCATTTTACACCCACTCCAAAACAACCACCTATGTCTGCAGATGCAGGCCATGCAGGTGGTCAGCTACTTTTGAAGGGAGCGTACCAGCTCGTTTGCGCTTTTCACTTGTTGTTCAGTCAGAGGCGTAAGATTCGATCAATAATACCAGTTTTCTCGAAATCCTTCTGAATGGCACAGAAATTCGATTTGAAGTAGTCGCTTTTACGGGGGAAGTCTCATTGGACTCCTTGCTCATAACTATGAAGGTAACATATTCAATTTGCCCTGCTTTTTCCAGCGCACATGTTCTGCAATGTGTGCAACACAGTAATTTGTCAAAATGTTTGCGTAAGAAATGTTACAAAAGCTTGACACGCTCTGTTCAGACAGACATATATGCGAACATGCAGCTATCATCCCATGGACTCAATGAAACGTTTTTCTATGGCTTTGATTTCTCCCTATGGAAATCAAAGTGTTTACCACTAAAGCTCTTTTCGAATCGCACTTTGGCTTTGGAAATGGGAGCACCACATGGTCCAAAGTGACGCGCTGGTTCAAACTTGTTCAAACTGGTTCAAACTGGTTCAAACAAACAAACTTCAACCAATGCACTTCTCAGTAGCAGGCCCTTGCGGCCCGCTGGGCCAATCACAAACTTTTTGTTTATTCGCACAAGTAGAAGTACCACGGCGGCTGCCCTGACGACGGTGGTCGCGACAGCTGCAGGGAAGAAGCCTAGTGCGGTTACAAAGCGTTGGCAGCGGAATTTAGACTCGAAAAGAATTAAATTAATATGCTTATTGTCTTGACAGTGCTGCATTTGGCTACCAAGTGATATTATTAGACGTAACTGGTCCTAGCTTTCATTAGACTACGTTTTTGAAATATGCCCTCCAATATGGGACACTCTAGAAGGTTCCACATGTGTACGTACAGTGTGGGTCGAGCATAAATAATGCTGAAGTCAGTGGGTGCTAAAAATGCCAGTAGATTTGCGACTTCGTAACAGGCGTGATGATCACGACCAATCAGCCGACGGAGCGGCGCTGACGACAAAACACCACCACCTTTCCGCTTCATGGCGTCGGTCCAAGATGATATCATGGTCTTTCCCAGCCAGTCCCACATCTGTCACACTGCGGAATATCCTGGCGCATCAAGAAAAACGAGTGCGTTGCGCACGTATGACCCAATCGAAGCCCACAAAGCACAACTTCCTGGAAACGGCTTTTGCGGCGAAAGCAAATCCTTTACCAAACTCGAGATTCATCTCCATGACGGGGCGAAGATGCTCATACATGCTCCGCCGTATCTGGCGGATATGAAAAAATATGACCGACTTGAGATCTCAAGCAAGAACATAAAGCGCCTCAGATATCCTGGCCAAAGCGGAGTGTTGGTACGCGCCGTGCCCGACCCGCAAGACGTGCCCTTCGGCCACCAAGATCCGATCAACCCGGGGACACGAGTGAGGGGGTACGGCGACCCTGATAAAACGAAAATGACGAGTGGCAAGAGAAGGCGATGTGGGGATGCGGGTGATTGGGAGAGGGCCAGCGGGACAACGAGCAGGAGCTCACGTAGCGGCAGGGTCGCTAGGCCCTGAAATGAACAGCTGGTGCTGTCCACCCGTTCCCTGAGCCGGGCCCCGAGGGGACGCCACTGCCCTAACCCATCTGAGGCCGGTGCTCCTGCGGAGCTACCGCACCCCTGCCGGCGGCGAGGCACGCCGTCGGGGGCCGGGTACAGCACCATGGCACCACGCACTCGTACCCCTGCAAGGGAACGGCTAGGCCAGGGTATTGCATCATGGCGTGACACTCTTCGATCCGTGTTGGTGAAGGTAACAGCTAGAGGCAGCCTTCAACACATTCCATAGATGTGCGTTGCATGGAACCACGTCCATGTACAATCGTGTCTCTTTCTTGGTAATAGCCAGGCCACATCTAAGTCGCCTACACAGCTTTGATGAAGAAAGCAGTGGACCGGATTCACGAACGCCGGAAAACTGAATATTAGAAAACCATGATAGAAAATATCGTCACTTGTTCCTGAAATTCTGCGATGTCATGACTTGTGATTAGGAACGTGTTATTTTTAGAGCAATCTGGCATGCGGATCTCACCAGTTTGGAGAAGTACTTGATCTGTGACGTCCAGACCTCAGCCGATCCCCCAACGCCGTGCAGGAAGAAAAGCAGCGGGGTCTGACAGTAAAGCACCGTGACAGCACCATCTTATACACCAAACATAGCAGCCGTGCCAATACATGACGGCAAAACGCCTTAACAAACTAACAACCAACGGAGTAGCACCAGCGGGCGGAGTCAAATGGCAGCCAAACATAAACCCACGATGCTAGGCGTTAACAGCAGCCATCTTCCCACATCAGCAAAAGCGAGACACAGACATCCATTTGCAAGCAGCGAGAAACAGGACAACCGGCGCGGCCGCTTGACGAAGGTTGCACGCCGACGTCTCCTGCCCGACTCCCAGCTCCAGCCCAGCCTGCTCAGGGAGGCTCGTGGGATCAAGAGCTGAACAAGCGGGCCGCACAGCACGGGCGTCAGCGGCCACCAGCCTGGCTGAGCCCTGTGGGTGGGACGGCCGGGGCATGCGGGCGGCGGGGCGTGGCTTACCTTACTATCAACGGCCGCCGTCTGGTGTTTGGGCGCCGCCGGCGGCGGCGGCGGCGGCTGTGGTGGCGGTGGCGACGGCGGCGGCGGCGGTGGTGCTCCCGGTCCCTCACCCTCGCCCTCCTCGTCCGTCTCCGTGGCGTCCAGCGTGGCGTCCGGCAGCCGGACGGCCGCGTCGGCCGGATCGTCGGCGTTCGGCTCGTACGCCGGGTTGGCGAAACCGTCTACCGCTTCCTCCTCCTCCTCCTCCTCTTCGTGCTCTTCCGGCAGCGGCTCGGCCGACGGCGCGCACGCGGCGCCGCCCACCGCCGCGTCCACCATCTGGTCCAGCAGCTGACGCACGGTCGCCTCGGCCGGCGACACGACGGCGCTCATGGACGTCTTGCGTGCCCGGCCGGCCGCGTCCGCCGGGCCGAACGTGTTGGTGGAGGCCTTGCGGCGCGGAGGGCCGGCGGCCGTGATGTGCGGGCCCTGCGTGTGGTGGAGGACGGCGTGAGGTCGGCTCAAACCAACAAGTAACAGGCTTCACAGACCAGGTCAGACAGGCCTAACGTAGCAGCTTACGTGTAACAGGTCTGACGGAGCGGGTCACACGGAACAGGTCTGACGGAGCGGGTCACAAGGAACAGGTCTGACGGAGCGGGTCACATGTAACAGGCCTGACGGAACAGGTCACCTGTAACAGGTCTGACGGAGCGGGTCACACGGAACAGGTCTGACGAAGCACGTCACGTGTAACAGGTCTGACGGAGCGCGGCACATGTAACAGGTCTGACGGAGCGGGTCACACGGAACAGGTCTGACGGAGCGGGTCACACGGAACAGGTCTGACGGAGCGGGTCACACGGAACATGTCTGGCGGGGCGGGTCACGGAACAGGTCGGCGGAGCGGGACACATGGAGCAGGTCTGGCGGAGCGGGTACCACGCAACGGGCCCGACGTGGCGGGTCACACAACAGGCCTGACAGAGCGCGTCACACGGAATAGGTCTGGCGGAGCGGGACACACGGAACAGGTCTGACGGAGCGGGTCACATGTAACAGGCCTGACGGAACAGGTCACCTGTAACAGGTCTGACGGAGCGGGTCACACGGAACAGGTCTGACGAAGCACGTCACGTGTAACAGGTCTGACGGAGCGCGGCACATGTAACAGGTCTGACGGAGCGGGTCACACGGAACAGGTCTGACGGAGCGGGTCACACGGAACAGGTCTGACGGAGCGGGTCACACGGAACAGGTCTGGCGGAGCGGGTCCCACGCAACGGGCCCGACGTGGCGGGTCACACGGAACAGGCCTGACGGAGCGCGGCACATGTAACAGGTGTGACGGAGCGGGTCACACGGAACAGGTCTGACGGAGCACGTCATACGGAACAGGTCTGGCGGAGCGGGACACACGGAACAGGTCTGGCGGAGCGGGTCACACGGAACAGGTCTGGCGGAGCGGGACACATGTAACAGGTCTGACGGAGCGGGTCCCACGCAACGGGCCCGACGTGGCGGGTCACACGCAACAGGCCTGACGGAGCGGGACACATGTAACAGGTCTGACGGAGCGGGTCACACGCAACAGGCCTGACGGAGCGGGTCGCGCAGAACAGGCCTGAGAACGTACACAGGTCAGACGGAGCACGACAGAGCAGGTCCGACGGGTCACATAACAAACAGCAGGACGTCGCTAACGTCTGAGAGCGGTGCTTCTTTCACTCCATTCGTTTCCTTGCAACGACGCAGAGTTAATACAAGCACTTCGAAAAGTACCTGATCACTACCTATGCTTGGACAACTGATGGGCTACGTAAATCTAGCATGGTGCTTGTGAGCGCGGCTGATAACGAGCGACGCAGGCCGCAGGCCGTCGAGTCTTACACAACCTATCGCACATTCTCAACTGAGGTGCCGGAGCCCGCGCTGGCCGGCATGCTCTGCCTAAGGTAATATATTTGCAATCACTGGTCGCAGGCTCATGCAGTGTTCAGGAATAAGGTAGGCAATTCCGAGAAAAAACATTGAGGTGTATTTTTTAACGCATTTTCTTGCAAGCCATCCACCAAGTTGGTTCTTACTGAATTGCACACAAAGCGTCGCAAATCCCATGACATTGACATGGAAAACTTCCCGATTACAGAGAAAAGACACTGAAATAAGGAGCCCAAACCGGGTTCAGATCTGGACTCCTCAGTGTTGCAGCGGCGCGCGGCTAACATATTCTGAAGGGGAAAAACAAAGACAATCGCAGGTAGCTATTCGGGCATACGGACATGCCGACAGCAACGGCCATTTTGCACCCGAACTATGGTGATATGTGTACCTGTACAACCAGGCCATGTTATGGGTTTCCTAAATCGTGCCCCACAAAAAGGTGGGCAAAGGGAACACTCGCCAGACCCCAAATGCAAAGCATCTCGCACGTAGCCGCTAACCATGAGTGATAACAGCGCTGCTCAGGCAAACTCAGTGCGCCAGGTTACTTTCAGCCAGAGTCGTGTGGCGTCCGAGGATGTCTGGGCGAATGGAATATCTCGAAGTCACTGTCGCCGCAGGAACGGCTCTAACGTCACTAGTGGGGTCGTCGCCTGTGAGGGAACACGGGCCATCGATGCTGCAAATGGCAACCAGCGACGATAACGTTCGGTGGCGAAGTGTGGGCACTGAGCCAGAACAAGAGCAATGGAAACGCGTGGTCACACTAATCTGCCTTTACGCGAAGAGACAACCCCTGCTTGAAATCAGAAAACGGCGCTTCGGAAGAACTAAAGTGAGTTTTGACTGATCCATCCTTTTCCGCAGTTTACGCTCCCTCGTTTCCAGCAATGCCGGTGGGTTCAGACACCAAGCCGAAGACAAGGGGATGCAATACGTTACAAGATTTGGTCAACTACGACGTGATCTATTACCAAATGATGGATGACTAGAATACTGCCCAAAGGGTCAGACAAAATGAGGAACCATTCCGCTCGTTACTTCTCCGCAGAGGCTAATGCCTGCTTGATTGCAGACAAGTCAGTGGTAAAAATAGAAAAGAAAGGAGACATCGTTAAACATTTTGTCCAGCTGTCGCACGCCACACTGTATCCTGTACCTGCTTCGGACCTTGAGCCATTCGTGTATATGTGGAAATATGTTTCGTACCCAGCGCCGATGCGTTGGAGAAACTCAGATCGAAAGTCCTCAGCAGTCGTCGATCTTAGCAAAGGCAGACTCCTGACCCTCATACATATAGGCCCTGGTGAGCTGGCCGTGCCACTTTCGAACATATGGATTAAATGACACGAAAAGGTGCTGCGAAAGGCAGGATGTGCACGAACATGTGCAGATTTTAGGGCATACCGTGCACTGAGCATTTCGCGTCAAAAGGACAGTGGCGGTTTATTCGCCTCAACCAAGGGATTGGAGATGGGACTGGCTCCAAACGACCCGGTACTCCGGTATCCCATGCACATTCCTTCGTGGCGGACTGCATCAGGAGGGCGTTTTGCTGAGGCACCTGCCAACTGAAAACCTTGACAGCCATATTCATGCCAGGATAGGATGCGTCCCCTGTATAGAAAAACAGTATTCTGAGATCAGCACCACACATAATCTTGGTAACGACTTTGAGAATGTTCAAATCCATGTAGCACCTTTTTCTGAGCTGCCTTAAGGTGATAGTTACTTGCGTTAGCTTCTCGTCCAACAATATTTCGAAGACCGCGACGCAGAGACTGGCCTATCCTCGCCGTGCATGTACATCCGCGGGTCCATGTCATTTTCCGCTTCCCACACGGTGCGCAATCATCACTTTAGATGTACACCACCTGAGGCCGTTGCGAGAGCCCCATCTCCCCAAGCTGCCCACACACATCTGCAGTTGCGCGGCAATAGTTGTCAATAGTCGGCAATAGCGTGCCTGCAGCACGCAACTGCTGGGTGGACGACAGGTGAGGTTCCCACACACGGCGGAAGGCACGCTCCCACTTATTTATCACTAAAACAAGCGAAATGCGACTGCATTGCCCCACGGGACGCCGTGTTCATGACGGTAAATGTCAGACAGTGCTGAACCTAGTAGGACTGTCAATGACAGGTCCATGAGGAAAATGTGCCATATGCCCACGCATGTCACATTTGTGGAGTTTCATGAGAATCACTGCGTATACATGCCGTACCATATGGTTTGCCGATGTCGGAGAAAATGGTGGCCATATGTCGCTTAGGCCTAAAACCTCTGCGTACCGACGGATCCAAGCCTAAAAGATTAGAACTTAGAAAGCATGCCGTCCTATTCTAAGTACCACATAACGCGAGAGTTTGCCACTTTTCAAGTAACTTGCAGGGAAAGACGTGAACACTATGGGGCGGCATTTGCTTGGGCCTTTCATTCTCCTCCCGACCTTAAGTAGAGGTATAGTAATGTCCTCTCTCCATATCAGTGGGAAGTCGTCATCCCGCCAAACGAAGTTGAATGTGTTGAGAAAGGCCCAGAGATGGATGTGGGAGGTGACAAAGCACCGCGTCACGAGCGCCATCGGAGCCCTCGCCTGAGAAGCTCCTCCCCGCTCTGGCCGATGCCGAGGATGATCTGGGCTTTAGGGCGCACCGGCTGCCCTGGTCATATCCGTCCCGCCCTGACCGTGGTTCAGCGCCATCGCCCCCTGACTCCTTAAGCCACCGCGCCCGGACGAGCATCCCACGTGAAGACCCCCGGGCGGCGGGGGGGGGGGGGGGCAGCAAGCCGCAGCACAGGCGACAAGCCGCTAGACCCGTATGGGGTTCTACGGGATCCCCGCACCCACAAATATCCTGGTCAAAGTGGAGTGTTAGCACACGCTACTCAACAGAACGGCACGTCGTTCAGCCGCCAGGATCCGATCAGTCCGAGGGCGCGGGCACTGCAGGGGGCACGACGACCCCGATAAAGCGATGGATGAAGAGTGATCAGAGGGCGGGATGAGGGAATGCCGGTGATGGGAGGAAGCGGGCGGGACAACGAGGAAGAACTCACGTGCCGGCAGGATCGCTAGGCCCTAAAATGAACAGCTTGCGCTGTCCGCCCGGTACCTGAGCTGGAACCCGAGGGGACGCTACTTACTCCGCCTTACTCCGGGCGAACCCGGTGCACCTTGCGGACAAGAGGCAATCGTACTGGCACAAGTGTCGGTCGATGCGTACGAGTCATCACGTGGTCTCGACTGCCAACTACGGGTTCATTTTCGAGTTTGCTCTTTAAAATCATTGGTGACACATCTAAGCAACTACAACAAAAAAGCACGTCTGGAGGTAGGTGATGTACCGGTGATGGCTCACCGGGATATCCCAAAGCTGTCTGATCCGCAGGTGCGCCAGTAATCCATCGGGAAGCCACCGATGTCACTCCCTCCGAAACTGATTCCGAATAAAAGACGCAGTAGACGAGATTGAAAAGGATTTGGAAATGATTGGCATACAGGTGCACGAGCTTGATGAGCATCATCCAACATTTTTTGCGTTTTTTGCAATGCTTTGGCTGCAGCTGCCAAAGTAGTAATTCGTCACAATTTCTTTGATTTTGTCTAAGACAACATCAGGTGTGACCCAAACCATTGCCTGCAAACTTTCAAGTACACAAACGCTACATCAGTGGACCTTCGCATGTAAAATGATCATGGAACGTGTACCCCAATCGCCAAGATGAGGTAGATAATACAAGGATAAGGTCAGGATGCGTCTTTGATACCACCTCCCCTCCCCCACCTAACAATTGCCCATGTTGCGCATGTCATTGAGACAAGTCCAACACGTTTGAAGAGACCATAACAGGCTCGCAGGCGAGCGGCCTAACCACTGACCTGCCAGTGGTTGAACCAGAAGTCGCTGGTGGTTACGTCACCGTCCGGCGTGTCGCTGCCCGGCCGGTCCGGCTCGTCCGACGCCGGTAGCTGGTATGGCAGCACGTGCAGCACGCGGAGCCGATTGTGGGGAGCCACCTCCACAAACTCCAGGTTGGCAGTCTTAACCGGCGATGGTGTCACGCGGTGGTTACGTCTGGGATCATCAGGCAGTGGTTACGTCTGGGATCATCAGGCAGTGGTTACATCTGGGATCATCAGACGGTGGTTATGTCTGGGGTCATCAGGCGATGGTTACGTCTGGGATCAGCAGTGCGCCAATGCGTCTGGGAACATCAGACTTCGTGCGTCATGCTCGTGCATTTGTGCTTCATGTTCGTGCATTTATTTTTTAAGCAACATAATTTTGCCACAGGGCAACATTATCTCATCAAGTACACTTCATTCAGCGATTCATCGCGAATACGAAGAACACATCTCAATGGAATATTCACCAATGTATGATTCCATAAATAGACAATATCAAAGCCAAACACAGATGACATTCGTCATCTGTGCTCGTAAGAACCTTGTTCGGTGTCCAATGGAAACAGCCGTACAACTTCGCTAGTTCACACAGTTGCAGCTACTCAGGACACTGTGACCAAGCAAATGGAATCAGTCATCAGCATACACAGCGAGGTGACGCACAGACCTCCATCCTACTGGGGTGAGGACATTCCAGGGCCACGACAGAGCTCACCTGAAGCAGGGGCAGGCCAGGTCGGCCAGCATGCCGCAGGTGCGGGACAGACGAGCGCACGCCACCTCTGCTCCCTCACAAAGATCATTGTAAAGGCTCTGTGGTGGCGGAGAGCTCATCTCAATCTGTCAAAAGACGAACAAGGGGGTGATGGGCTTGGGGATCACAATGATACCAGTTACACTTTAGCATGTGCCAACCATGACAGTGCTCAGTTTGTATAGCTGAGCATGATAATGTGCATATTGAAGAAAAAAACACTGAACCAATCATATTTGGGCCAGCCAGAGCACATTTCTGTTAGATATTCCATGCCGAATGAGTGCTTAATTGTCAAGGAAAATCAAAACATGGAAAGCTATATTTTATAGCCACTTCCAACTGATCAACAAAGAGAGAAAAACTGATGGGGAGTGCCTAGACCACTAAAATCAATACATCCCTAGAGCCTGCAGGAAGCTGCAAGCTGAGTTCAGTGCCCAGAAAAGCAAACTCTACCTGCTGCATATGTACATGCTACCATAACACTAATATACTACGCCTTGTGTAATCCATGTCAATGGTAATGATGATATTACATAATTCACTAATTAATAATTTTGTTAGCATTCAACCCTAAAAGGGTAGGCAAATGTTATGATGACTATCTTGTTATCAAGCACTGAGCTTCCTGGTAACCAGCACTTTCCCACTTGCTTTATGCAAAAGGAATTATAAACCATTTGCTCACATGTTGTTAACCTATTACTCACATATTCTGACAGCATGATGCATCTATATCTGCTGTGATATATTCATACACATTGCATCCAACTATGAGCTTTTCAGGTTTTTACCCACCTTTATCTATAGCTAAATCAGTTATTTTACATGCACCTACTCAGTGAATGACCACATTATTTCATACCACTTATTTACAACAAACCAATACCTGCAGGAGATATGTAGCATATGATCAGCACACATTGGAAATATCCAGTTGAGTCTTATCTAAGCCCAGCCATATCTTCTCTCCACTTGCAGTTGTGACACCAGCATGGCATGATGCCTCAAAATGCACATTTAACTTTTCCAACAAACTCTACACCCATGAGTTAAGTTAGCTGATGTTGAGTTGCAACATCTCATAGTTTTGTGCATGTAAGTTCCAAGATCCTACACTTTTTACAATTAAGCTCCAAAATTATATTAACATAATATGTTGCTTCCATGTCTAGTTCCATTAAAAGAAAAAAAATAAGCAGAAACAGCATATTCATCATTAAGTGCAGGGTAAGAGTGGATGTGGGTGAATGAATTTTTTATATATGAAGATGTCAGGTAATCCTAAATTAGATTACCCACCTTACATGATGGTGCACCACCTAATTAATGCCACAGCTATTGCTTTGATCTGTAAACATGCATTTGGTCATGCCTTAATGAGTCAGATGATTTCCAATATTCTTATATATATTTTTTAGAAGTTTTATGTCAGGCATATGCAAATAAACAAAATATAGGAAAAAATCATGTGAAATGATGATGTGCAACACAGTTATTCTTAGAATGCTCAACAATACACAGCAGGGATCATGAGATTGGTTAAAAATATGATCAGGGATGTGGCTACATAGGCTATATAGGTCATACACACTGCAGCATATGCTAGTTTATTAACATAGGTTGCATAGCCTAACAAGAATAATGCTAGGACCAAAGTTATGTGTGACTTGGAGGCAGATATTGGCATGAACACATGAAAGTAGGTCGGACAGTAAATGCGAAAAGGCATATGTATGGAAACTAAGGCTGATGTTCCATACAATGCAACAGCATGAGTGGAATGGGTGGAATGAGTGGAAATGAGTAGACAATATGAGTGGAATGGGTGGTACAGCTAAGTTAAGGCACACAACTAGGGAGACAAGTATGTGTTGCTCTGTGGATCACAGATCAAGCCTTGGTGCCTAGGGTATCTAATATACATCATGATCCTGGACTGTGTGCTTTATTTGTGTGGTCTAAATTTGTATAAAGTATTCCTTTTATATGTTGAGAATATTGATAGGATATATGCAGGCATGACTACCTGACCTGTTATGCCAGGCTGAAGAAGGTAAGAGAAGATTAAATAAAACTGATGGACCAAATCTGTCATAACAATCCACACACTGTTGCTTATCATGTCAAAACTTAAAAGACATGATCATTTAGGGTGTAGGTGTACTTTCCTACCTAACATTAGAAAAATCATTGCACACCATTCGTCGTGTTCAAGGCAGCACATATCGTAAATCATCTCAAAACAGGTAGAATCATGCTCCTACCTTCGAATTTCAATAACTTCGATGGCGAGCTCCCGAGCGTCGCGCGCACCGCACCGCCTGGACTCCCCAGTGCCGTTTCTGCGTTGCCGTTGCGTAAATACAATGTTTCTGCTTACCAAGAACTCTACAAAATGTACGGGACCAAGGTAAACCATTCGTCGTGTTTAAGGCGGAACATATCGTAAATAATTTCAAAACAGATAGAATCATGCTCCTACCCTCGAATTTTAATAAATACGATAGCGAGCTCCCGAGCGCCGCACGCCCCGCACCGCACTGCCTCGACTTCCAAGCGCCGTTTCTACGTTGTTGCGAAAGCACAATATTTCTGCTTATCAAGAACCATAAAACATGTACGGGACCAAGGTAACAATAATAAAGCAACCAAAATCGTTTCTTATCGAGTTTAGGTACTTTTATGAAACACGCAGGCCAGAATAGTCCAGAACATATCCTAACCTAACCTAACCTAACCTAACCTAACCTAACCTAACCTAACCTAACCTAACCTAACCTAACCTAACCTAACCTAACCTAACCTAACCTAACCTAACCTAACCTAACCTAGCCTAGCCTAGCCTAACCTAACCTAACCGAACCGAACCGAACCGAACCGAACGAACCGAACCGAACCTAACCTAACCTAACCTAACCTAACCTAACCTAACCTAACCTAACCTAACCTAACCTAACCTAACCTAACCTAACCTAACCTAACCTAACCTAACCTAACTTAACCTAACCTATCTGAGAATAGACCAGAACCTAAGCTAAGCTAAGCTAAGCTAGACTGACCTGACCTGACCTGGCCCAACCTAACCTAACCCAACCCAACCCAACCCAACCCAACCCAACCCAACCCACCCAACCCACCCAACCCAACCCAACCCAACCCAACCCAACCCAACCCAACCCAACCTAACCTAACCTAACCTAACCTAACCTAACCTAACCTAACCTAACCTAACCTAACCAACCTCCCCACCCTATATCCCCTTCAACCCAGCATCTCATTGGCATCCATGTTCCATGCCATATATAGGTGCCATATAGTGAGCTTTTATTTAGCTGCCATGTTCTCATTTTGCTTTACATTCCCCACCCAATCCCCCTGCAACCCATGGTCCCGTTGGTGTCGAGGATCAAATTTCATGGATTCTTGCTACCTTGTCCTGGTACATTTTTTATGGTTTGCAGTAAATATGGTTTATAGTTATAGTATGGTTTACTTAGTATAGTTTATAGTTATAGTTATGGTTTATAGTATGGTTCACAGTTAATATGGTTTATATGGTAAATATGGTTATGGTAAATACGGTTTATGTTTAGTAAATATTTTTATGGTTCGCAGTTAGGTTATGGTTGTCCTGCCTTAACATGACGAATGGTTTACTTTGGTCTCGTACATTTTGTACAGTTCTTGGTACACAGAAATATTGTATGCAACGGCAACGCGGAAACGGCGCTGGGGAGTCCAGGCGGTGCGGTGCGCGCGGCGCTCGGGGGCCCGCCATCGAAGTTATTGAAATTCGAAGGTAGGAGCATGATTCTACCTGTTTTGAGATTATTTACGATATGTCATGCCTTAAACACGACGAATGGTGTACAATGATTTTTTATAACGTTAGGTAGGAAAGTACACCCTGACCTCATTTAGTGTTCATGCTGGGATACTCAATTTGGGGATTATCCCAGCTGAGTCAATACCTTCACAGGAATTCCAGTGTCTTGACAGCCTGGTTTCCAGACAGCAAAGCATACATATTACACCAAACATATCCAGCATGGCAGCAGCACAGCATTAAAAATTCTAGCCCATGTATGCCATATATACAACAGCTTAGAAATCAATGTCTAGCCACTACCAATTTCAGAGTATGAAACACCAATATTTCTGGGAATCATAGTGTTGCAAAAGTATTACATGCGAGACAATGAGAAAGATCTACACCCAAAAATAAGTTGAAACATCAGCGTAATCTGGCCTCGCCTGAATTCGGCGTACGCGAGCGCGAGGTCCAGCGCATAAATGTCCCGCAGATCGCAGGCATCCGCGCAAAGGGTAGACTTGTTGCGACTGGCTGGTTGGTCAGTGTACAATGTATGACAGGATGCTTTCACTCTCCTGGCGTCTCGCACGAAAACACAAAGATAGGACGTATTTTTACCGGGTTCTATGCTCCGATGAATACAATATTAATGGACAATTGGCACGGTCAGGAAGCGTCCGCCGACGCGACCGGGTTTCCACGGAGTCGCTAATGCGCTGATTTTATAGCATGATAGTCACATTTGTATCAAATGATTCCTGGCAATAATGTGGTAGCAATGTTAGAAAGAGAGATTTCCTTCGTAGTTCAAAATTAACAATTATCGACCAGCGAGGCGGGTCGATGAATTGATGGGGTTCCGTTTTGGTAGAATAAGATATATTGACTTTCGAAACGATGCTAATGGAGGGATCTGTACCGTACAGTTCGACAGCGATATTTATTATGTAACTAGCAGCCGTCATCCCAAGCAAAGGTGTAATCATCAGACGGGTGGAAATCCGTGTTGCCGATGTTCGGACAAAACGAGCCCGCGGGACGTTGCCTGGCAACTGTCCCAAACAAAACGCAAACAGTTGACTGCCGTCAGCGTCGCGCGGTGCCCGTGGTGTCGTGTTGCAGGCGCTGTGGTAGGCGGGGCCGTCGTTTAATGTCAAGTAGTATTTCTTTTAACATGCCCATCTGGGTCGCCAACGTCGAATTGAACTTGTTGACTCTTCGAGCATATCAGGCATCGCGTAATGAGTTCTCATAGTGCCGCTATCTAACTAGCGAACGCTAGCTACAGTCATGCCAGTGCCACTGAGCCGGTACACATATATGCTCGGTGTGCAAACATTGTTTATTTTTGCTGACATGTGCTTCAATATTGTTGCTGACACGGTTCGGATGGAGAATGTACTGCGCCTTATCCTGTTCATGTGAGTAATCTACCTAGCAACAATCCGTTTTATGGGATTCCCTCCCCCCCCCAAAAAAAATGATATGCCTACCTGTTTTGATTTCAACCTCACTTGTGGGAGGGAGGGACTAAACGGCCGACCAAACCTGTTAACAACTGCATGCTCCGAACCTACGAGGATCGATCAGCATGAAGCCTTCAGCATTCAATGCCGCTGGGTCGATAACCTACCTATCATTTCCAGAACGTATTGAGGTCAAAGGTTACCAAAAATAAAATAAGAACCGGAAAAAGGGTTGCAAAGAACCCCATGCTGCGAGCCCTTAGCACCGATCAGAATGAAGTCTTCACTAATCAATATGTCATGTTGTCAATATGCCATAGTCGATATCTCATCCTTTCCAGAACATGGCAACCTTGGGTCAGGTAAAACGTTACCAAAAACACCCAAAACCATTAACATTAGCTGCAGACATCCCCATGCTACGAGCCTACTGGACTGATTGGCCCAAAACCTGCCGCTGGCGCCCAGCTTGCCACATCGGATCCGTGTGTGAATGCGGGCGGGAACCTGGGCGCACAACACTCTTGTCTAAAACCTCTCCTCTCCCGCTTGACATCAGGAATGCCACACCCTAAAAATTGGTTTGTATGGCATATTAATGTGGAAAAATTGACAGGCTACTCAGTTTTTGCTTTTTTCTCGTGCGCATCAGTTGTAGTAGCAGAAAATATATTGGACGACGTAACGTTAGTTACGAATATACCGCACCCAGCTATCAGCGGAGCTGTGTGCCCCTGACTGCCCGTTGAGTGAACAGTGATTTAGAATGGAACCACCTGAATGCCTTATGCGGTCACAGAACACCAAACTATCGCAAACTGGAGATAGATAAATATTACCATGGTATGACTCAATGCGCTCAGGGTGATCAGGCACTTTTCGATTCCGGTAGTGTAAAGCGTGTCTTCTGCATCAGCATGTGCGAACGTGTCAGGTGGTGCGCGGACTTTGACGCTTCAAGGAAAAGGTTAAATTATAAATTAGTTCAAGCCCAAGTGTGTTAGTTTCCCAAATTGGAGGAGTGAGGGTAAGCATCCTGCATGGCATTGTGGCCGTGCATCAACCGAAATTTTTTAAAAGAGAAGAAACCGAACGACAAAGGCAGTATCTAACTTGCTTACAACGCCAGGTACGCGCGTTTGAGGGCGTTTTGCAGTCGGTGCACGCTAACGCTATTATGTCTTCAAACACTGCAAAAACATTCGTATCATTCAGATCAGCACCTCTTAAAAAGGAATTAGGTGCATCGACCATATCAAGAGGGCCGAAACTCGACGCTAATGATAAGTAGGAGTCATTGGCGCTTGATTGTGCTCCCTTAGTGGGTATATGGTCAAATGATGTATGCACGATGCTATCCAGCGCCTGGCTGTCTCGTGGGTTGATGGACGTCATTGATTCATGGGTATAGCTCATAGGTGTTGTATTTGAATCGATGGTTACCCTCAAACGGGCTTAACTTACCACTCGTCGCCTCTGATTTTCTTTTGTGGTTGATGTATTTTAAATGCCAAACTTTGCAGAGCTTGATTGTGTATACACATGATACTTCCAGGCATCCTGCTTGTACGGGAATGTTTCGTTGGTTAAGTACGAAACGTTGTATTACTTTGCGCCCACGTATTGAGTATTTGTTCGGACTAACGTTCTCGTCTGGTGTGTTTGTATGTACGCAACGTGTCGGACAGTTAACTCACGGGCCGTCGTCAGATGTTATTGATTCCTAAGATGAATTGGTTTGGGTTTCAGTCATGTACCATGCCGTGTTTGGCTTTCACCCATGCATACATTATAACCCGAGCATCTCTCGGGAATGGCTGACATTCAAACCATGGACTTCCGATTCTGAGTCTAGTGTTCTAACTGAGCTAAGCGAGGACGATACTTCCGCGTTGCAATTTAGTATCATTCATGTCTTGGATGCTGGGGGGTTTTCCTCAGAATTGGGGCTCGTATTGGGCTGATGTCCATCTTTGTCTTACTGATGGATTTGGTTCACCTCATGTACCGCAGTGACCTGGATGGATGGTTGCAAGTTTCCGTCGGAATGTTGTTTCGTCTTTTTGGTGTTGCCAGAAGACGAAACTTGTAAAATTTCGAAATATCCAGGAAATAAATGAAACCAAGCTGTAACACGGAAAGATTGCCCCTCCCGATTAGCTCCACTGGAAGAGCACTGGACCAGCAATGGGAGCTCCTGGTTCGAGTTTCAGCAATTCCAAGAAGAGAATTTTGTTGTGATGCGTGCATAGCTAGAGACTTTCTAGTTTTTTCAGCGCTCAGTGACACCTGACAACAGCCTGATAATTAACTGATCGAATCATCGTGTACACAATAACACGCCGGACGAGGACGATAGTTTTAACACTTATTACATTTGTGACACGAAATGCCTCGTCTCAATCCTTCCGTAAAGCTATTTCCCACTCTTTCACGACTTTTTCCCACTCTTTCCCACTCTTTCACCCTCCCACTATCATGGTCTTTTTGGCTGAAACTTTGCACTTGGATGTCCTTACACTATTTTGGTTTCCTGGCAGTCTGTTTCATTTTTACGCACTCGCCTCATTTCAGATGTGACAGTAATATTGACTCCCCATGTTCCAGAATACAAGACGTCACCTTGGTGTTCTCTCTGATCGTGGTATTCCTCAATTTCGTCAGCACATATGTCTTCCAGGTAAGATGACTTGCGGTATTGAAGTCTGGTTAGTGTTGTCAGCTCGATAATGCCAATTTTTACCTGATTTAAGCCGACCACGTTTCGATACACTGACACAAAGCTGTTCTCTCTGTCGCACCTCAAGAACTGATGTGACCTGATGGTTGATGTGTTTGTTGCAGGCTGGTCTGGTGGGGGTTTTGCTCTCCAAGTTCCGCGTGCCACTCATGCTGAATGCGGCATATCTGGGCCTCAGCATAGGCCTGCACTCCTGGAGTCTCCGGCGGCAGTGGGACGACCCGTACCTGCTCGTATGGACGCCGGGTTTGGTGGCGCTCCACTCCGTCCATAGGATGGGTCAGTAGGAGTGCCCTCACCCCATGCCTTACTGATATTAAGGCCCGCCATTATGGCGGAGAAATTGCATTACTCAGTTCCTCGCGAGCAAAAATTGTACTGCAGTACCTGCAACGACACCCTGCGTCTCTGAATCGATTCGAGACAATCAAGAACAGCTTAGATTATATCATGCCATCATCCAAAATGCAGCCGCGCCTGGGCTTGGCGCGGAGCGGCAGGGATGTAATTCACCCATCGTTCAGCGCGCCTGGGTGGGGTGGGGGAATCGCTCCCCTTAGTTTGTCCAGAATAACGTCCAAAGGACGCGGCGTAGCGGCGCAAAACTTTGTTTGGCTGTGGGCAATTGAAAAATTGCTGTACACAACGGGGCAGCGGATGTTGTGTCTCAAAAGCATATAAATATATATATATATATATATATATATATATATAGTTTATTAACCTATAGTGGAATTTGAAGTCAGGTCATGGTTAACATCAACGGATATCCTCAGGGCAGGTTTCAAAACCATGTGACAGCAGAATTGTAGACGAAGTCATATGGCCTTGGCACATGGTTTTTGTACATAATAGTGCGATTTCAATTATAATTGCAATTAACATATTGATACTGGGTAAGTTATGTCAAATAAAGGTCAATAGCTAACGAATTTCGTATAATGACCTTCATGGGTCTTATGTCTTGAAGAATCTCCCGCCTAGAGTAGTTCCTGGCTACTAGTTTGCATGAAAACATTAATAGGTTTTGGGAATTTTTTGTCATTTTAACATTTTAAAGGTCATGTGTGGTTGCTGGCCCGAAATGGCTGGACGCGGTCTTTTGCTTGGAGAAATTTGTAGGGTGAACTTGTTTGCGTGAGGTCTGAGGGCATTAACGACACTGATTTACAGTGTGAACTTGTTTCACCTTGGTTGACCTCACGGTCACTTTTTATTAATGTTAGATATGTAATAATCGAGTTTACGCACAACCTGATCAGCCCTGTAAGTTTCGTGTCTTTAGTCCCTTTACTTATTATCATCTCAGGAGTTAAGGGGTTCCATTGGCCCCCCGTCCTCACGCAAGCGCGTCGAACTCTGCCTTACACCCGTGCGTGTGTTGAGGAATTATTGATTCACTTGGAGTTTGCATTACACGGGTGTCGGTATGCGACTGGTTAACTAGTGGTAGGACTCTTCTGTACACCTGTTTTGTGAATGGCCTCATCGCGTTTAATGAGGTTCTGCACGACCCCTGCCACGTTTGTCAGCGCAGCTGTCAGGCTCAGGTCACGACAAATCTGCTGTGGACGAGGCCAACACGATGCAAACTTAAGTGCCAGCCACTGCAGTCACAGTGTATCGCCATTCTTAATTGTTGCTCGCTAACGACGTCATTCTGCTTGATTCCAGTCGCGGTGCTTCATTACTACTTTTACAAGAGGACTGCTCTCGAGCTATGCAATCCAGAGCTTTATGAGGACTCGCCGTGGCTGCAAAAGTACCTGCATGGATCCTAGTCTGCTGGTTCTGTGGGTGGGTCACCCGCCAGCATTCTGTGCCCTGCTCAGTGTTAGGAGAGACTTCGGCCACGAGTGAACACGTTTCTATGCCTGCTGCGAAGTGCATTGGTCGGTAAACATTGCAGATCCATTACAGCCCACGTCTTGTCTGAATGCAACCTCCGGTAAAGAAAGCTCCAGTAAGATGGCATCTGAGATGAGGACGCTATGTGGTCCAGACCTCTCGCACTGTAGTTTAGGAAGCATGTCTCTCTGGTGTGGCAGGCGTGGCGATGATGGTGCCCTGGCGTTTCATGTTGAAAACTATTTGCATTGTGTATTATTCGAACCATCAGTAGACTATCAGCTTTTCAGACGGTTCATCAATAAATCATCACGGAAGTGCCAACGCGCCCAAATCGTGCCAGAGCTCCTTTTTCTCCGCGGGGAGTAAAGGAGCTCATTATGCCCCACAGAAGACATTAGATGCGCTGGATGGGTTTATTCTCCCCTTGTCTACGCCGTAAACCGATGTGCTGCACTAACGTTTCGTTTGATTCGGTCTCTTCAAGTGTCTGAAAATGTAATAGTAGCTACTTTAAGGGCGTGTACCACCATTGAGATCAAGTTTCCTTCATATAGGTATGTGGTGCCGCGATCAGTCGTGTCCGACTTTGGATAAGTTGTTTCGATTTTGCCTTCATGAGCTAATTTTTTTCAATTTCAAGCAATTTTGGCGTGAGTCTTCAATCAAGTTCCGTACTTATCGCTACCAAAAACGTTTTGGTTCTTGTAATGAATTGAATGGGAGGCTGTGTATTTTATTCGGATTGGACACACTATTTGCACCCTCACAATCCAGTGCATTCTCATACGATAGCGGTTCAGTGCAGGACATGTATTTCATTCCTGCTACCAGCACCAAAGCTCAGTATTAGTGAATACGGCGACTTGGTTGGACCCTTTCAAAGACACGTTGAATGGTTACCGGTTAACGCCAGTGGCGTGACAAAATTCGCCCAGCTTTGTGCCAGGCAGGACAAAATCAATTAATGTCATCAGACCTCTTTCTCCGCCGTCTCCGCCTCTGCCACGCTTCCTTAGTGCGTGAGAAACGCGTCTCCTGTCCTCATCGGTGGTGCCGTCCATGATAGCGGCGGTACTTCAGTTGGGATGCTGCTTACATCTGTGGCTGGCCGTTTAAGACTTGGAGTGTTATGAAAATCTGTTGTTTTTTCATGTTTCGGCAGATATAAATGCATTGTCTAGTGGTACATGCACTGACAAGCAGCAACGTCTCGCCGAAGGTTACGCTCTCATACCGAAGGGTATTTGCCATTCCTCCAAAGTGGGCCTCCCTTGTAATGTCGACATGGATGTGGTACCGCGTCAATCCTGACCTAACATGCAATGTGTGCTACGCGCGGTTGCGTACCAGCGCGGGTTGATGTTTGGCGGTGCCGGCCGAATTGCCGAGTGAGCTTCTCACCGTGTGCATACACCCTTGAATGCCTGTCGGATTGCATAATGCCGGGTTTTCAGACACAGCTCAACACGGCGCCGGTTGCTGGCCTGGCGTGAACATGTCGGTGACGAAAGAGAAGGGAAAAAGAATCGGTGCAGTTAGTGGCAGCAATCGTGTGGCGTTTCCACTGACCCTTTAGTACCTACATTTCGTATGCAGCGTAAGGGGAAATAACCGCGAATGCTTTTGTACCTCAAGTGACGTTTCACCAGGCATGCTCGAAGCTGCCGCCGCCAATCGCAGCCAAGCTGTACGTAGAGCCGTTTTGGATGCAACGCTCGATATTTGCTTGGTGTACTTTTTAAACAGGTCGTTTAAGTAACGGGTTTCTTGTCAGTGTTACCTTTCACGATGGTAACACCGCGGCTTACGTGTGCGTTTTTGACAAAAAAAATACAATATTCGCTCGATTATTGGTTTGCGGGGAACTAGACGGAACCGGAACGGGTCGATCTGACCCGGTCCTGTCTCACCTTGTTAGAAGAAGTGCAGCCTGAACTGGTCCTGTTCTGGGACCCCCGTCTTGTTCCAGCTGTCTCTTTGTCTGATTCACTCCGGTTCGGGGTTTGGCGAGGCTGTTTTTGGAACCAAGATTAAGGTTTATTTGAACCGGCGCTGTTGTGAAGATGTGGTCGTCCATGGCAAAGTGAAATACAGTTAGGAGGAGTATCGCGCTTTCTTTGTACCTGTCACTTATTGTTATCAGACGTGTACGATTTCATCAGTAATACCATTTTTCTGGAAATCCTGAATATCTTATAACTTCGGTTTGAAGTAGCCAAACCCGCTGGAGAAATCTCGTCTGACACGCTGTTAACCATTATGAAACTAATTCGGTTGATATGCCTTGCTTTTTCAACGTGTGTGGTTTGTCATGTTTGCAGCTCACTAATGAAGCGCGCGTTTCCGTGAAGAAGCACACAATAAGCGATTTGGCCGAATAAAACTTATTTGATGGACGAAAAATTACTGCCTGTTTTTTCCCAGATCTGGCAGCACTTCTGGCCAGAAAATAGTACAAAGGAACACACCCAGAATGCGCCCTTGACAAATGACGCTCTTTGAATACGCAGCACTGGTCAACGAGTAGAGCCTCGGTCAACGAGCAGCTCCAAGGCCGTGTAGGGGTGGGGCGGCGGTATTTGGAGCGCAGGGTAGCTGTGAGCGGTTCCATACACCGCATGGAGGTATAGGCACAAACTTGGTGTATTTGTGCAGGTGGGTATTTCATTTTGTCAGCTTTGCATATGCTTAGGTTAATCTAAAAGCACGAAAAGGGAATATGTGGACACGGAAGCCTGACGCCTTTACAGCATGGTCAGTGTGGCGCATCCCATTGCCATTTCAATTCACCGGGGCGTTGCTCGCCGGCATTTGGTTTTAGGTGGTAGTTTGTCATGTGCTGAAGATGCTCACTTTTCTATTAATTTGTGCATTTTGTGGTACATCATGGATGGATGTGGCAGTTCTATCTGGAAATTGTACCATTTTACCTCCAAATCGGACTCATCTCACCTGCTCTTTTGCTGGAAGTAGCACACTTTATGCCACATGATGCTTTTGTGTTATTGATTTGCAGTAGGTTCTGCAGCTTGCTATCTTTGAAGAATTGCAGGCCACAGTTTCTAAGTGGTTGCAGTTATGATAACAGTCAAAACATAAGAAGTTGAATATTATGATGATGTAGGTGTAAATGAGGATTAAGCTTGGCATAGAACATTAAATTCTGAATTGGTGTGGTGCTGTAGCATAAGTGATGTTTTGTGCAGTGAAAAGTCAGGCATTGAAGTCAATGGTTTTTTAGGCAGACAAAAGTCATGCTTGGTGAAAGAAGAAGGAAAGAAGTCTGCATTTGTTCATATATGAGAAAATTATTTTATTTGCTGAAGAATTTGCCACACAAGGTCTTATTTAGGGAACAGGTTGGTATGATTTTTGAGGCATTTTAGGCCATTAGTGCAGTTATTAATATGATAAAGGTTACATAATTCTGTAATAGGTTCATTCCCATGGTTTGGTTGGCAAGGGGACATTCCTTTCTGGTCTGAGTTGTGTGCCTTAAGCTGTCAGGTATATAATTCTAATATCTTGCATGTGACTTGAAACATTGTACATTGAAATTATGATGTAATAGTGATCAACATATCAGCCATATTTGGAACATCAATATTAAGAACCATTTTTTAGTGTACAACCTATATTTTAATGTACTTGCATGTTTTCCCAATGTATCTTGATAGAACCTATCTTGCTGAAATTGCCACCTGAGCCTGAAGATGCAATACAATGCGGACATCTTGTTTTTTGTTATGTTATTTGCGGAGATGTTCTTACTGTTCCTTATCTGTCATCCAAAGGCAAAAAAAGCCCAAGTGCTATGTCAACTGATGGGTCTTCAGGCTTTTGGCTCCTGTTCTCAATTGATGACATCCATGGACATCAACCTAATGTGAGGTCTGCTGTGAAGATGGCTTATGAGCCTGCATGGCAAACTTATTAAAGCAGAACAAGGTGAAGTGCTTGATCATCAGGGTGTAGGTGTACTTTCCTACCTAACGGTAGAAAAAATCATTGCACACCATTCGTCATGTTTAAGGCGGCACATATCATAAATTATCTCAAAACAGGTAGAATCATGCTCCTACCTTCGAATTTCAATGACTTCGATGGCGGGCTCCCGAGCGCCGCGCACGCCGCACCGCCTGGACTCCCCAGCGCCGTTTCTGCGTTGCCGTTGCGTAAATACAATATTTCTGCTTACCAAGAACTCTACAAAATGTACGGGACCAAGGTAAAACCATTCGTCGTGTTTAAGGCGGAACATATCGTAAATAATTTCAAAACAGATAGAATCATGCTCCTACCCTCGAATTTTAATAAATACGATAGCGAGCTCCCGAGCGCCACACGCATCGCACCGCACCGCCTCGACTCCCAAGCGCCGTTTCTGCGTTGTTGCGAAAGCACAATATTTCTGCTTATCAAGAACCATAAAACATGTATGGGACCAAGGTAACAATAATAAAGCAACCCAAATCGTTTCTTATCGAGTTTAGGTACATTTATGAAACACACAGGCCAGAATAGTCCAGAACATATCCTAAACTAGCCTAACCTAACCGAACCTAACCTAACCTAACTGAGAATAGACCAGAACCTAAGCTAAGCTAAGCTAAGCTAGCCTGACCTGACCTGACCTGACCTGACCTGACCTGACCTGACCTACCTAACCTAACCTAACCTAACCTAACCTAACCTAACCTAACCTAACCTAACCTAACCTAACCTAACCTGACCTAACCTAACCTAACCTGAGAATAGACCAGAGCCTAAGCTTAGCTAAGCTAACCTAACCTAACCTAACCTAACCTAACTAACCTAACTAACCTAACTGAACTGAACCTAACCTAACCTAACCTAACCTAACCTAACCTAACCTAACCTAACCTCCCCACCCTATATCCCCTTCAACCCAGCATCCCATTGGCGTCCATGTTCCATGCCATATATAGGTGTCATATAGTGAGCTTTTATTTAGCTGCCATGTTCTCATTTTGCTTTACATTCCCCATCCAATCCCCCTGCAACCCATGGTCCCGTTGGCGTCGAGGATCAAATTTCATGGATTCTTGTTACCTTGGCCCGGTACATTTTTATGATTCGTGATGCTGCTTGATGCACAGTAATGTTGTGACCCGCGCAGTAATGGCGCCGGTGTCGCGGGTGCTGTGTGTGTGCGGCGCTCGGGAGCTCGCCATCGTAATTATAAAAAATTGAAGGTAAGATCATGAATCTACCTGTTTTGTGATTATTTACGATATGTCCTGCCTTAAACACGACGAATGGTTTACTTTGGTCCCGTACATTTTGTAGAGTTCTTGGTAAGCAGAAATATTGTATTTACGCAACGGCAACGCAGAAACGGCGCTGGGGAGTCCAGGCGGTGCGATGCGCGCGGCGCTCGGGGGCCCGCCATCGAAGTTATTGAAATTCGAAGGTAGGAGCATGATTCTACCTGTTCTGAGATTATTTACCGATATGTCATGCCTTAAACACTGAGGAATGGTGTACAATGATTTTTTCTAATGTTAGATAGGAAAGTACACCCTGACCCAGAAATGCACAAAATGGTGGTCTGCTTCAAGTAGTTCACCTCCTTTTTTAGAAGAAGAAAAATCACTGCTGTGATCATTCTATCTAAAAAAGGTGAACCACTTGAAGGAGATCAGCTTCCAAGTTGCCTTCATGATAGGCCTCATATTAGGTTCATGTTCATGGATGTTGCTACCAACTCATTTGCTTGGTCACCTTACATTTGGTGATGTTATTCACAGAAACTCGTGTTCTGTTTTAGTGCTATCACTAAAAGCAAGGTTTGCTCATTGCATTGCCTTGAAATGCTATGTGTTAGTCTTCATAGACTATAGGGTTAGGTAACAATTTCAGCAAGAGAGGCTCTGCTTAAACAATCATGCAAAATATGCATGAATTTTTAAGTGAGTATGTCACCTTTTTGTACTCTTTGCTTATTGTTAGATCAGACTGGCACAATTCAATCAGTAAATCTAGTTTTCTTTAAATCCTTATGAAAAGCTCACAATTTTGATGTTATGTGACTGTTCTTGTGGGAGAAATGTTATTGAACTATCTGCCCTACCACCATGAAAGTATACCAGTTTTGCCTGGCTTTTTCCAACATGTGTGATTCATTATGGCTGCAATGCTATAGGTATTTTTCCCATTTTAACCAATTAAGGAGCTGCTTACCATGTAAGTCTCTGTGGCTTAACATGGTTATTTGCTTTCATACTGCCACATTTCATGTTTCACTGTACTTGGAGGACATTAAAAGCCATTTCACATGGATCCTTCTAACCATATACTACTACTACATTCTGGTGCTCAGCAGGATCAACAATCTAAACTTAAGGGAGTATTTCAGTTGTTGACCATTGGGCTTTGCCTGCTGCAGGGTCAGCATGGCTGCTGGAAGCTGGAGAATACCTGTGGCCTGTGTGGCGGTGTACATCTACACTGTGGTGGCCCAGTTTGACTGGCAGACACAAGACAACTTTGATTTTATTGATCAAAAGTTCAAACGTGTGAGGGAAGACAACTGTGAGCTGCTACCATTTGCTGATCTGTTTCTGCCTGAAAGTACTGTGTCACATAAGCCAGATATCAAAGACATCAACGTCAACCCAGTGCTGCCAAACCGGACACACATGCTGTACCTGCACAACCTTGTCCTAAGCCGGGGGTATTTCTTCAGCTATGTGATCCAGAGCAGGTAAGTGCCAGTCATCTTCTGTTCTACTCACTTTGTAGAAATGTGAATGTGATTTTTGTGCATGTCTTATTGGTGCCAGAAGGATGACTTTGACGGTATTTGACGTGTCTGGAAAAAGTTGTGGCCACAATGGTGGCTTTATTTTCAACGCAAGGCTACAGATGGATAAAATTGTGGTAGCAGTGATGATGTCTGTGAACACAACTCTTAAATCTACATCCATTTTCTCATATTGCTTGGTGTTACAAACACAACCATAATTTGTTTTGTGATAAAGATGTCCAGGCATTCATTTCTGTCATAGCTCCAAATGATCATGTCTTTCGATGAATAATCTCATATTTGTTCCACACTTGCCATCATTGCGTTAGCGCACGTCGCTCCGCCCAGCTGGTACCACAACACTGACTGTGTGCCTGTGTGCTGGTCAGGTTCAAGCGGCCCTCCCACCAGGGGATCGAACAGTCAGAGCTGGACCCTGGCATGATGTACTACTTCCTCTCCGTTGTCGCCGACATCAGCTCCAGCCCCTACATCAACGGCAGCGCCATCTACTTCGCGCCCAACACCTCCTACTCACCCTCTTACCAGGCCAACTTCAACCAGACGTTCCCGCTGTTCGCTCCTCGAGCGTTCCGGTACGTGTTTAGGAGCTGCAGATGGCGGCAAGACGGCCGGACAGTATCATTTCACCTCCTGCGTCACCACCGAGGCTCTTCCTCCATCAGACAGTGTGATTATCTTGCGCGCGGTTTATCCTGAGGTCGTCGTTTTCCCGGGCCCCACCCATCACTGCCAGTCGGAAAATTCCGGCAATGTTCCGCATACAGACCCCACGACTCGGTGGGCCGTCGTGTGGGGTGCGATTGCGAACTGCGGCGGACCTGGCTTTGGGCGGTCCGGGCGTCGTGCCCAGTGTTCAGCATCGGTGCCGGGCCGACGCTCGGCGGGCGGATGGGTCAGCCTGTAACGCCCGTACCCTGCCGCAGCGCTGACGACTACAACTACCCGTTTCACCTGGAGCGGATATCGACGCTGAACACGGTTGAGGTGTCCGACTTGGGCGCCTTTGAGAAGATCCGGCAGAGCAAGAACTACACCAAGGAGGAGTACCGCATAAACCGTTGGTCAGTGTTACGATGTCTCGGGTAGTTGGCCGACGCAGCACCGGGATGCCTGTTTGTATGCGTCTGTTCTGTAGCAGGCTTGTATGTCTGTGTGGTCTGGTAGAAATGGCCAGTGGGACACATTAAATAATAATCTAAAATGTATCGCACATAGCCCGATTGGCCTGCATATGGATACGGTCGCTACATGTCCCGTCAGAGTGACCAGGCAGCAGATCAGTTACAGGAGGCCGTTTCCAGGTGTAAGTACACGTTTCGTTGTCGCGATCGGCAGGTACTACAAGTGGTTACCGGATCAGCGGCAAACGCAGGCTTCCAAGACCACGTACCACATCAAGATCCGCTACGCCAACAACACCAACGAGACGTACACCTTCCACGGCCCGCCCGGTGAGCGTCGGCGGCAGCTGGTGTCTGACGAGCAGCCGTGGGCAGGGGCTAGCGCTCGCGTGTCACCCAGTGCTGGCGGGTATCGACAACTGGTCGCCAGGTTCCGTTTAGCTTGCGGTGACCTGGAGGGTCGGGCGTCGCTCCGGCGGGGCCAGCCAGCCACGTGACCTGAGTCCCGTGTCTGTGGTTCTGAGGCGGCCTGCGGAGTTTGGCACTGGCCCCAGCGGCCGGCCCCGCTCTGTGAATGGACCCGGAGGCGGAGCGGGTCTTCGGGCCGTCTGGTGGTAGTGAGGTCGCTCCCACCTTGACGCCGTGCCGTGGCGCCGGCCGGCCTGGCGCCACCCGTGATGCGTGACCTCGCCGCCGCCAGCCAATGACGAGACGCCCGGCCCGGTCAACTGGACGCAGCCGTACTTCGACTGCGGCCGCTCCAACAAGTGGATCATGGGCGCAGCCGTACCGATCGTCGACCTCTACCACAGGCACACGGGCTTCAGACACATCGAGTACCCCACGTACGTCCCGATGGTCAGCGACCGCCGCCACCGTATCATAGGCGCAATGCCAAGCATAGGCAGGCGACGGGCTGCGGAGGTATACTAAGGACATCTGGCAGCCTACCTTTTTTTTGGTGCAACCTCTATTTCATATTTGTCATGTCGCATGGTCGGCCCCCGTCCCGCCTTTGCGTATTTATGCTGGTTTCCTGGCAATGCAATTACTTGTTTACCAGTGAGATGGCACGCGTTAGTGAGCTTTCTACGCGGCATTAGTGCTTATGGCTGTTCCTGATAGTGCTCGCACTGGTGTGCTTGCGTGCCTGGAGGTAGCTGCAGAGATGGAAGCAATGTTTCGTGTTCCAGCTACACGGCGGTGGCCGTCATTGAGATGGATTTCGAACGAATGGACATAAATCAATGTCCGCTGGGAGAGGGCAACAGCGGCCCAAACATCTTTGCGGACACCGCGCGCTGCAAAAAGGACACAACGGAGGTCAGTGCCGCCAGTTGACAGCGCTCGGCTGACTTCTGGAGAGATGGATTCTGCGCTGTTGGCCCTGACTGTGTGGCGCGCGTATGTCGGATCAAACGCCCTGATTCAGTGCTACGGTTTGGCATGGGATCGTTGTTCGGTTGCGGGCGCTGATGGCGTTGTTGCCTGTCCATGATCGACGCAACGGGTATATCAGGGAATTATACGTTTCCTGGGCACGCTAATGATTTATCATAGGTTAGCGACTACCCGTCGCTTGTAACGCCACAGGCGTCCATGTTCGGCATAAAACTACTGAGGTAACATCGAGTCGCAAGCCACTTTGTCACTCTCAGGTGCCAATTTGTCCGGGAAGGCATGTTTCGAAGGCTGCCAGGGCTGAAAACTTGCTGAAGGAAGATTCAACGGGATCTCTCGAAAGGCGCTTGACCGGGATCTATGTGTGTCCGTGTCCCATGCCAGCCTTCTTCCACAAATACCGGAGTTGTGACGCCTGTTTGTCGGCGGCAGTGCCGACCGCGGTAAATAATCTGACAGCTGTGTGGTTCTTCAACAGCTACATGTGCTGTTTGACGTATTATGATGACCATGTGTCCTTCTGATGTCAGTGTGAGCTGGCTGAGCACAGTCTGACCGCTGCCTGTTCCCCCGTGTCAGTGTGAGCCGGCTGAGCACAGTCTGACCGCTGTCTGTTCCCCCGTGGCATTGTGAGCCGGTTGAGCACAGTCTGACCGCTGTCTGTTCCCCCGTGTCAGTGTGAGCCGGCTGAGCACAGTCTGACCGCTGTCTGTTCCCCCGTGTCAGTGTGAGCCGGCTGAGCACAGTCTGACCGCTGTCTGTTCCTCCGTGGCATTGTGAGCTGGCTGAGCACAGTCTGACCGCTGTCTGTTCCCCCGTGTCAGTGTGAGCCGGCTGAGCACAGTCTGACCGCTGTCTGTTCCCCCGTGGCATTGTGAGCCGGTTGAGCACAGTCTGACCGCTGTCTGTTCCCCCGTGTCAGTGTGAGCCGGCTGAGCACAGTCTGACCGCTGTCTGTTCCTCCGTGGCATTGTGAGCCGGTTGAGCACAGTCTGACCGCTGTCTGTTCCCCCGTGTCAGTGTGAGCCGGCTGAGCACAGTCTGACCGCTGTCTGTTCCTCCGTGGCATTGTGAGCCGGCTGAGCACAGTCTGACCGCTGTCTGTTCCCCCGTGTCAGTGTGAGCCGGCTGAGCACAGTCTGACCGCTGTCTGTTCCTCCGTGGCATTGTGAGCCGGTTGAGCACAGTCTGACCGCTGTCTGTTCCTCCGTGGCATTGTGAGCCGGTTGAGCACAGTCTGACCGCTGTCTGTTCCCCCGTGGCATTGTGAGCCGGTTGAGCACAGTCTGACCGCTGTCTGTTCCCCCGTGGCATTGTGAGCCGGCTGAGCACAGTCTGACCGCTGTCTGTCCCTCCGTGGCATTGTGAGCCGGTTGAGCACAGTCTGACCGCTGTCTGTTCCCCCGTGGCATTGTGAGCCGGTTGAGCACAGTCTGACCGCTGTCTGTTCCCCCGTGGCATTGTGAGCCGGTTGAGCACAGTCTGACTGCTGTCTGTTCCCCCGTGGCATTGTGAGCCGGTTGAGCACAGTCTGACCGCTGTCTGTTCCCCCGTGGCATTGTGAGCCGGCTGAGCACAGTCTGACCGCTGTCTGTCCCTCCGTGGCATTGTGGGCCGGTTGAGCACAGTCTGACCGCTGTCTGTTCCCCCGTGGCATTGTGAGCCGGCTGAGCACAGTCTGACCGCTGTCTGTCCCTCCGTGGCATTGTGAGCCGGTTGAGCACAGTCTGACCGCTGTCTGTTCCCCCGTGGCATTGTGAGCCGGCTGAGCACAGTCTGACCGCTGTCTGTTCCCCCGTGGCATTGTGAGCCGGTTGAGCACAGTCTGACCGCTGTCTGTTCCCCCGTGGCATTGTGAGCCGGCTGAGCACAGTCTGACCGCTGTCTGTTCCCCCGTGGCATTGTGAGCCGGTTGAGCACAGTCTGACCGCTGTCTGTCCCTCCGTGGCATTGTGAGCCGGTTGAGCACAGTCTGACCGCTGTCTGTCCCTCCGTGGCATTGTGGGCCGGTTGAGCACAGTCTGACCGCTGTCTGTTCCCCCGTGGCATTGTGAGCCGGCTGAGCACAGTCTGACCGCTGTCTGTTCCCCCGTGGCATTGTGAGCCGGCTGAGCACAGTCTGACCGCTGTCTGTTCCCCCGTGTCAGTGTGAGCCGCCTGAGCACAGTCTGACCGCTGTCTGTTCCCCCATGGCATTGTGAGCCGGCTGAGCACAGTCTGACCGCTGTCTGTCCCTCCGTGGCATTGTGAGCCGGTTGAGCACAGTCTGACCGCTGTCTGTTCCCCCGTGGCATTGTGAGCCGGCTGAGCACAGTCTGACCGCTGTCTGTTCCCCCGTGGCATTGTGAGCCGCCTGAGCACAGTCTGACCGCTGTCTGTCCCTCCGTGGCATTGTGAGCCGGTTGAGCACAGTCTGACCGCTGTCTGTTCCCCCGTGGCATTGTGAGCCGGCTGAGCACAGTCTGACTGGCTGTCTGTTCCCCCTGTGGCATCGTGAGCCGGCTGAGCACAGTCTGACCGCTGTCTGTTCCCCCCGTGGCAGTGTGTCCTGGCTGAGCACAGTCTGACCGCTGTCTGTTCCCCCGTGGCATCGTGAGCCGGCTGAGCACAGTCTGACCGCTGTCTGTCCCTCCGTGGCATTGTGAGCCGGCTGAGCACAGTCTGACTGCTGTCTGTTCCCCCGTGGCATTGTGAGCTGGCTGAGCACAGTCTGACTGCTGTCTGTTTCCCCGTGGCATTGTGAACCGGCTGAGCACAGTCTGACTGCTGTCTGTTCCCCCTGTGGCAGTGTGAGCCGGCTGAGCACAGTCTGACCGCTGTCTGTTCCCCCGTGGCATTGTGAGCCGGCTGAGCACAGTCTGACTGCTGTCTGTTTCCCCGTGGCATCGTGAGCCGGCTGAGCACAGTCTGACCTCTGTCTGTTCCCCCGTGGCAGTGTGATCCGGCCGAGCACAGTCTGACTGCTGGCTGTTCCCCCTATGGCAGCGTGAGCCGGCTGAGCACAGTCTGACTGCTGTCTGTTCCCCCTGTGGCATTGTGAGCCGGCTGAGCACAGTCTGACTGGTGTCTGTTCCCCCTATGGCAGTGTGACCTGGCTGAGCACAGTCTGACTGCTGTCTGTCCCCCCTATGGCAGTGTGACCCGGCCGAGCACAGTCTGACTGCTGTCTGCTCCCTCGGTGGCAATGTGGCCCGGCTGAGCACAGTCTGACCGCTGCCTGTCCCTCCTGTGGCAGTGTGACCCGGCTGAGCACAGTCTGACCGCTGCCTGTCCCTCCTGTGGCAGTGTGACCCGGCTGAGCACAGTCTGACCGCTGCCTGTTCCCCCGTGGCAGTGTGAGCCGCTGGACGGGTACGGGTTCCGCCGCGGCGGCTACCAGTGCCGCTGTAAGCCCGGCCACCGACTGCCAAACGTGGTGCGGCGCCCCTACCTGGGCGAGGTGCTCGAGCGGGCCACCACCGAGCAGTACCAGAACGCGTTCCACTGCGAAAAAATTGGCTGTGAGTCTGCCCCTCCCGCACTTCTAAAGAAACGCGTTGGTGGTGTCATGTATGCATCATGCATTCAGCACTGTCTACTTGGCGTTGGGTTAGCAGTGGTCTAATGAGCTACTGGGTTACCTCTGCTGTCCAAACTGAAAAATTTCACACGATCCAATGTTCTCAAACACAGCATACCCTGCGTATTGGCATGGTCATGCCAGAACTGTGTATGCGCCAGTGCCGGGACGTGTAATGACCAGTGTATCGGCGTCTCTGGTGTATTGGAGTCAGGCTCTCCTATTTTCAGGCCACGAGGTGTTTTAGAGAAGCTCTTCGTGGATCCCGTGGTGATATGCTCTCATGTGGCTAATTGTAATGGAACATGCTTTCTTGCAGGGATTCATAAAACCATCCAGGGTAAAGCGAAGCTGGATCAGTTTACCAGGTACCAGCATCTGAACCGGCACTTCTTCAAAAACTACACTGTCAAGCCCAACGATACCTTGGCTCAGCCACCTGCCGAAAACGTGATGCCTCTGCTAGAGTTCTTAAAGGAGGTCAAAACCGGCGACTGCACCAAGTAAGGCGTTATTCACCGTGATGTCAGCTAATGCAACATGTGGTTGGCTTTAACTTTCTTGCCCCGCCTTGTGCATACTAGCTCGCCTCGTCAAAATATGGTCCAGATCGCAAAATCTACAATGTGGGGAGAAATGCGACTCGTTTGCGGAGTGCGTTCAAGTGATGGAGGACAGATGCGGGTGGATTCGGCTTAACATGGGTGAAGACCATGGGAGGTACTCAGATGCTGATAAAAGAACTCAACGGATCAGTCCAGGTAACCGGCTTTGGAAGACGTTGGCTCTACCGGCCAACAGGTGACGTGAGCGTTGATGGCCCCTGTCCGTGTGGTGCGCCGGTGCCGGTGGCGGGCGCGGCCGGGCGGCGCGGAGGTGTCGGCCGGTGTCGGGGCGCCGCGTGACGCGCCGGCGCCGCCGACAGGTACCACCCGAAAGACCTGCAGCTGCGCGGCGACGTCATGTACGGCGCCGAAAAGCAGATGGAGAATCAGGCCCGCCTGGCGCTCCGGCTGGCCAACTTTATCTCGGCCTTCCTGCAGGTGCGCCACCGCCCGCTGGGCAGCCGAGCTGACCGCGTGCGAGCCGGAGACTGCCCCCGTGTTTGCCGGGCGCGGGCGGCTGGTGCGCGTCGCCGTGAAGGAATTTACCTGTTGCCACAATTGCGCTTGTACATGCGGCTCAGTCTGATGGCATCGGTAATTAAAACGCTATCTTGCCCTCACACGGCTGCCTCATGGCGTCGCGCTCGCCCCTCTCGCTTTCGTCCCCCTCTCTCCTCAGCCTGCCCTGTGTCTGACGGCGCCGCTGATGGCTGCTGTGTTCGCCTGTCCGCAGGTGTCGGACCCGGACGAGGTGTTCTCCGGGAACCGCGTGGCAGACCGCCCGCTGACCGAGGACCAGATGATGGGCGAGGTGATCTCCATGCTGATGGGCGACACCTGGATCTGGGGCGCCGGCATCTTCTGGGACAGGAACAAGTTCTACAATCGCACCCTGTTCGCGCCGTACGCCTTCAAGAAGGAGCTGAATCCGCGCAACCTGAACATGGAGGACCTGGCACGACTCAACAAGTCCGGTCAGTTAGCCTGCGTCTGGACTGAACTGTCGCGGCGTGTGTGCGACTGTGTGTTGCTGAAGGACGAGTTCTGTGTTGAACTCTGTCACAGCTCTTCCACTGGAAATTGGCATTGACTGACCATTTTTACGTGGTTGTCTCCGCCGTCTTCCACGCATGTAGCGGGCCGTGTGTGTGTGGGCTCACCTTCGCGGCTTGTTTCAGAGGAGGTGTACCTGAACAAGCCGATCTTCCGTGAGGTGAAGGCCCGCTGGTCGACCAACTTTGACTCGCTGGAGAAGATCTGGCTGAAGATGCTGTTCCGTTCTCATCCGCGCGGAGACAATATCTTCCTGCGCAAGTACACCAGATACCCGGATTACTTCTTGTAAGTCAATACTCTTACCAAATATCTAGTTAAGTGTAGTCTTGTACTCGAATTTTCGTCGATGGCCGTCTGAACAAGACTGAGTTTAAGGCACGTTTATTGTATGTTTATCGATACTGGGAGGTATGATCTAAGTGTTCTTTACATGGTGGCACATGCTGCATGACCGTGAAGGCGTCATTCTTACAGATATGGAAAAGGTCACTCACTATCACCCGTGTATCTTTAGACGGACAGAACTGATAAACGTAGGCACCCATGCATCAACGGCTAGCAGCACTCCGATCCTAGCGTCATTCGGAGTGTCGAGTCGATGCTAAAACAAACGACATGTTAAATACGATACTCAGTAAACACAAGCAAGAGCAGGGATGCCTTCGATTAGTGCAGGATAGCATGCAGGCTGCGAACGACCATGTGGCGCTCACTCGGTGTCATGCGGTTGATGCGGCTGGCAGCAGTATTATTGGCCGCTGTTGGGTTTCGAAAATGGATTCTTGATTTTGGTTCTTGGAAGAAAAACGATGGAATCATTGCTAGGGCCTAACATGAAAACTTATCACTGACAACGCGATGTGACCGCACCGCATTCCGTACCACACCTTTTTCTTTCAAACATTTGAAACTTCCGGGCCACAGCGTCTCAGAGCGATCAAGCACGCCCAGAAGCTTGGGACACAATGTGGCGGGTGCCGTTGGCATGCTTGGCGGGTGGTGAGTCAGCGGGTTTCAGCACACATGTCCCAGTTACGGCCGGGCTGACAGCGGCCACAGGTGATTCGCACAGCAAAAAGCGTAATGTTTTCGACGCGTTGGATGCTTTCTTTTCGAAGCATTTACAAAAACCGCCAAGCAGCCGCGTACATAGGAGGTAACAAGGTGTTGGCAGTAATATGCAAGAGGGAGCTAGAGAGAGAGAGAGGACGGAGACCTAGACCGAGACCGAGACCGAGACTGAGACTGAGACTGAGACTGAGACCGAGACAGATACAGGGGATCTGTTGGCTCACGCTGTCCGAGCCGAAAGTGTACCATTTACCAAGCCCATCAGTCTATTATTAAGAACGCCAGTGACCCCCAGCACCCCACCGAGCCTCTCTTCAGCCCCGCAGTCAACTCCGGCTAACGGCGTGCGGCTGCCCCCAGGGCGGCCAAGCTAGAAGACGGCTACTGGTCGCCGCCCTACTACGACTGTCACGGCTTCCACCCCATGTGGATGATCACCTACGCCGTGCCGTTCTTCGGCTGGGATGACCTGAAGCACAGCGTCGAGTTCAAGTACGTCATGGCGCCGTGGTGACGTGCGCGACCTGGATTCGTGTCTCTTAGGTGGTCGCTGACCCAACATGTTGCCAACGCTTGTTTCTCTGCGGGTGTGTGCATTCGTGCGTGCGTTTGTGTATAGGGGGGGGGGGGGGGGGGCAGTGTGTGCGTTCGTACGTCTGCGCGCATCAGCGGTGACATAGCCCCTCCGCCACTAGACCGTTATACAGTGCATCCATCTTCGCGCTGCGGTGTGACACGTTGGTCTTAATACTATGATGCGGTACCTCCACTTGTGTTCCATGATGTTTTGCATCCACATGCGTGTTGTAATTTGGCTCGTCTACATGCGTGCTGTTAAGTGACGCTGGCGGCTCCGCTCTGCGTACAGGGGAATGGTGAGCGTGTCCATGAGTGCCGAGAAACTGGACATTAACCAGTGCGACCACGACTACTGGGTGGCTAACGCCTTCAAGGACACGCACAAGTGCGACAGGAGGTCGTCTTACGTGAGTCAAAGGACAGGCTCTGCCGTCGACGAGCATTTGACGGACCGATCGCCGGCCTTGCGTCGGAGCGGCCTTGTTTGACGCTGGCGGTGGCCGCTGGTGCCTACCTGGTCCTGTGTCGGCTGGAGCTGACCCGGAGCCCGGCCCGTACACCAGTGTACAGCGGCCCGGTTCTGACAGTGGCGCTGCTGTGTTGTGAAGGAGTCAAAGCCTGGTGTCATTGTCCACATATCCGCGGTGAAATCAGTATTTTAGAGATGCCACTGTGTGATCAGGCCGCAGTGGAGGATCGGTTGTATTCTGGATGGCGTTTGACATCTCAAATGTCATGAGCGCCGCGACTACCACTGCCGCCGGCCTGGCCGCCGTTTCTGCGCCGCTGCTGATGACATTGGGACGGGCCGTCTGCCGCCGTGGTGTCCGCGACCGTTGGTGCGCGGCGCCTGACGGCCGATGGCCCGGCGCGCGCCGCAGTGCGTGCCGATCCAGGGTCGCGGCTTCTGGACGGGCGGCTACAAGTGCGCCTGCAAGCAAGGCTACGAGTACCCGTTCGAGGACCCCATCACGTACTTCGACGGACAGCTGGTGGAGGCCGAGTTCCTGAACCTGGTCCAGAACAAGGAAACGAGGTGCGATAACCCCCCCCCCCCCCTCCCCCTTCTACAGACCCCCTCTCGAGCAGGGCGCCGGTGGATTGGGAATGTGTGAGCGAGCCGGCGCGGTGCCAGGTCGCCCCCCCCCCCCCCCCCTCCCTCGAGCGGGTGGACGGAGATGATACCGAGTTAACGCGTCAGCGGCTCGCTCCGCCCGCCGAATGCGTCGGCTCCGACCCCTGCACTGTGTCCGTGACGGGGGCCGGCGCTCCGAATGTGGTTGTGTGCTGCTGCGCTGGTGGTCGGCTCGGATCCCTGCACTGTGTCCGTGACGCGGGGCCCGCGCTCCGAATGTGGTTGTGTGCTGCCGCGGTGGGGGTCGGCTCGGAGCTCATCTTGCCGATACCGACCGACCGGCGTCGGCGTTAGACCCTGGACTAGCACCACCCCGCCCTGTCGGTGGGTGGGCCGCCCGCCCCAGGGTGGCGCCAGTCATGGCGTGCCACGTCTAGCTCCCACGCCCCGGTCCAGCCTCAGCGCGACGCATTCGGTCGTGACGAGCGCACCACTCAGCAGCTGGGAGTCGTCAGTGTGCTATCGGCCGCGCTGCACGCACCACCTCTGCACCGAGCTGTACCGAACTGTGCTGCCGCTGACGGCGCCCGTCTCTGCCCCCGTCGCCAGGTACGACTACTACAAGTGTCGGCTGGCGGGCGCCCAGCGTCCGCATGTCAGCTGTCTGGCGGTGCTGGCGCTGCTGGCGGCCGGCCTCCTGCGTGGTCTCGCCGGCTGAGGCGCTCCGCTGGCCGCCGGCCCACGCCGACCTGACGCCGCCCCGCGCCTGACGCCCGGGGCAGCAGCGCTCGCCCCGTGCCTCGGTGCCACCCTGGCGTCGGTGGCCGCCCGAGCAGCAGCGACGGCGGTAGGCTGGCGCCCGGCCGAAGCCGTGGTGGTGCCGTGTGTGTGAATATGTCAGAAGATGCTGCTGGAACCTCAGAGTGTGTGGAATCTCAGAGCGGCTCTCATGTAATCTCATAGCAACTGCGATGTAATCTCAAAGTGACATTTGGCCGATGGTTTCGTGCCAGACGTAGTTTATTTTTAGGTTGGATCCAGTGCAAAGTGCCTGAAACGTGTTAAGGTTATGAATAGCATCGAAGTAAGGGTTTGTAGTCTTTTAGTTGAGTGGCACGCACAAGGTGGGCATTTCATGGAGAGCCCACCGTCTTCGAGTACGCACAGCTAATCTTGTAGGCTTGTTTTGTATTTTAAGCTATCGGGTTCCGGTAATCATTCCCAGTGCGTCGTGCCGCTGCACATGCGTTTGTAATTTGTACTGGAGGATTGGAGCCATTGTGATTCATTTTTCGTCATCCACCTGGAATGCCTGTAAGTGGATATGATTGCCATGAGTGTCTGTCCGAGTCCGGTGCACATGATCAAGGACTGGTGTGAGAAAATTGCGCCCGTTTTGACAACATCGCCGAAGGCTGCGCTTCTGTTCCACTCTATTTTCACGGAATGCATCGTCAGTGTATGTTTATACATTTCGCTGTAGCGTTTGATGTGTTTGTGTTGTATCTGATGGCATTTTGTTCGCCATCGCCTTGTGTTTAGTCGGGTCGTATGGACCCGTGCTGGCCGTCCCAAAGTCGTCCGACCTGTTGGACCTGGCTGTGACCTAACCATGGTCAGCCAGCTGTCCGCAGATTACGGCGAGAGCTTCGTCTCTCACCCGTGTGGTTGTCGCCTGTTGATGTCTGAATGCACGTTATCAAGGACATGTGTGAGAAAATGCGCCCGTTTTGACAACATCACCGAAGGCTGCGCTTCCGTTCCACTTTATTTTCACGGAATGCATCGTCAGTGTATGTTTGTGCATTTCGCTGTAGCACGTGATGTGTTTGTGTTGTATCTGATGGCATTTTGTTCGCCATCGTCTTGTGTTTAGTCGGGTCGTATGGACCCGTGCTGGCCGTCCCAGTCGTCCGACCTGTGGGACCTGGCTGTGACCTAACCATGGTCAGCCAGCTGTCCGCAGATTACGGCGAGAGCTTCGTCTCTCACCCGTGTGGTTGTCGCCTGTTGATGTCTGCTTGCGTCCGTGTCGGAGTGTGAATGGGAGCCCCGCCGTTTTGGTATGTCGTGTCCGTCCGCTCTGTGCCTGCTGTGTGCCGGCCTCGCGCCGGCCCAGCGCTGCTCTCATCTGTTGGCATTGGGACACACTGTGCTCACATACTGAGCACGGCATGGCCACCATCACCTGTCGTCCGTGTTAACGTGTGGCCCAGAGCGCCGTCCATGTGCGTGAATAAAGCTGGGTGTGTGGTGCGCCCCTAGATACCGTCGATGTGGGTGAATCCAGCCATGTGTGTGGTATGCCCCTGGATGCCGTCCATATGGGTGAATCCAGCCAGGTGTGTGATGCAGTTTTGTATACTGTCGATGTGAGTGAATCCAGCCTAGTGTGGTGGGCCCCTGGACACCGTCCATGTGAGTGAATCCAGCCATGTGTGTGGTGCGCCCTGGATACTGTCCATGTGAGTGAATCCAGCCATGTGTGTGGTGCGCCCTGGATACCGTCCATGTGAGTGAATCCAGCCATGTGTGTGGTGCGCCCTGGATACCGTCCATGTGAGTGAATCCAGCCAGGTGTGTGGCGCGTCCTTGGATACCGTTCACATGAGTGAATCCACCCTGGTGTGTGGTGCGCCCCGGGATACCGTCCACAGGAAATGAATCCAGCCAGGTGTGTGGCGCGTCCCTGGATACCGTTCACATGAGTGAATCCACCCTGGTGTGTGGTGCGGCTTTGGATACCGTCGATGTGAGTGGATCCAGCCAGGTGTGTGGCACGTTCTTAGATACCGTCCAGACGAGTGAATCCAGCCTGGTGTGGTGCGCCCCGGGATACCGTCCACAGGAAATGAATCCAGTCTGGTGTGTGGTGCGGCTTTGGATACCGTTGACGTGAGTGAATCCAGCCTGGTGTGTGATGCGCCCCTGGATACCGTCCACGTACGTAAATAAAGCTGGGTGCATGTTGCGGCCTTGGTTACCGCCCATGTGAGTAAATCCAGCCTGGTGTGTGGTGCGGCCGTGGTTACCGTCCATTGGAGTGAATCCCACGGGGGTGTGTTTTAGCCATGGTTACCGTTGATGCGATTTAATCCAGCCAGGTGTGTGATGTGTTCCTGGATACCGTCCACTGTAGTGAATCCAGCCAGGCGTGTTGCGGCCCTGGATACATTCCATGCGAGTAAGAGAAGCTAATTTTGTTCAAGCACATGTTTGTAACCGTTTCCAAATAAACCACGAAATGCCGTAGCTGGCTTTGCTTACCAGATGGGTATCACTGGGGCCGCACACGGTGGCTGGCGATACCATATCACGCAGTCTGAAGTTGCGAAGGCTGCTTTCATGCGCCACTAAAGGCGAGACCGGGGCTTTCGTCACGTTGCGCCATGTGTCGGATCCATGGGACCCCGCGGAGAAGTCAGATATGTCGAAATGCAATCGCGACGGGAAACTCACAACTTCCGCGAAGCGGAGACATCCTAAACGGTTGGCGCGAAACATCTTGCAGAGTTTGTCATCCTCCGCGTGTCGCGAATCTAATATATGCAGTAATTTAAGTGCACAGGCATTTTTGGGGGTGGAGCCGACCACCGGAAGCTCTGTGTGCGAGAACATTGCAATGTGTAGCACTTCGATACCTGTGCCACGCGACATGCTTGGTTTTTTACGCGACTTGGAAAACATGATGTGGCTTTTTCCCACGAGTCAACTAAATGATTTTCATTGCGACTGGAAACGGGATACTTCTCGCCGTCCGGCTTGTTTAGCCACAGCCAGCGGTGTCCTTAAGAGTTTAGCGACCATTGCACAACGCGATGGAACATCAGGTTGGTGCCCCCTGGATGTGGGGAGCTACAGATGCTGGGCACCGACGGTATCCTTCGTTGCATCGTAATTAACACTATTCCGTCTTCTTGCGTACCTGCCTTCACGGTGCGAGAACGTGACTTGCGTCGTCATGCGAAGGATCTCCGAGAGCTCCGTAAGCGCTCCACGAGCCACGCGAGGCGCTTGCCCCAGTAAAGTGCAGGGGCCCCACGAAGCGGCAGCGCTCAGCGGTCGGGAAGGCCGAGCAACTTCCCACCGCAGGACGTCACCCCCGTCGATAACGTCACGTGCCCCCGACTGCTGCCGGGTGCCGGTCGAGCCGGTATTGCTCGCTCTCCCATCCGACCGGTATGCCCAATGTCGGTCGCGCACGCTCGATGACCGGTTCCCGGGTCGGGCGCCGCTGCCGGCCGACGTGTGGCAAACCGGCGATCGCGGCGGGACGGTCGGGAGTGCGAGCCGCTCAGCGGGGCCGGCCGACCCGGCAGGCGGAGATGCGCTCGGGCCAGAGCCCCGCTGGTGCGTAACAGAAATGGAGTGATCTTCGGACAGCTCTAATCAGCTCTAACCCTTCTCTGAGCAGACCCACATTTGATCAGATTTCAAAATTAAAATGAATTATCTCTTCTGGCCTTCCTCTTTTTTTATCGCTCTCTCTTTTTATTTTTATATTGACCTGTGTGGGTGACAATGCCTTCCTGTGTCGTCTTCGTCAGAGTCGGCCTGTAGTCATTAAACACCTGCAGCAAACGCGCGCTACGTCAAATGACCTACGGCATGCATAATAGCGAGTCGTAGATGAACAGTCAGCTCAAGTTTGTGCCAGGAGCAGCGAGCGGTGCTGCGCGTCACAATGTCACGGAGGTACTTGTTAGTTAATTCATTTAAACGGTGGATTCAGGGTTAAGCAGTGGCAAACACAAAATCCTAGCCAGAAGTCCGCCGTATGTCACGAAACTGGGACAATGCGTGGATTCACTAAAACGCCTATAACGAAGTTTAGAGGAAGATTCCCCAGCCGGTTGCACACATTACGGTGAAGAGCACACGAGCTGGCAACGCGGATGTCCTTTTTCGACAGTTTTCATGATTTGCGTCATATCTCGCCACCCAGAAAGCGGGGCGACTCGAGATTATGATGATTCGATAGGGAAGCCAACAGCGAATCATATGGCGCCACGTACACAGGTTACATGTCACGCCGACATAATCTGGAACGATAGAGTTCGCTATTTTTAACGGGTTTACACGCTTTGTGTCATCTCGGCACCTAGGACAGGGAGCCACACGGTAGTGGCATGCTCAGATAGAGAACTGTGTGGAGGTGGAGGAACGTGTGTTGCAAAGTTTGCAGTCGCACGTATCATGTGGCAATGTTTCATTAAAATATAGAAATCTTGCTTTCCTATGCACTTTTCAGAAACATTATGTTCCCAAAACTGTAAGCAAAGTTAAAATTAGCTTTTGTAGAGTCTTTTTATTTTACTCGTTCTTAGTTCCTTATCGGTGACTCGCACGACCCTATAACTTGCATTATTGTGTTTTGCCTGTGTTGTTATCCACTTGATGCAGGTTTTGGTCCAATTTGAAGAGGTGCGTGTTATCTCCGTTTGCATTGTCGTAAAAAGACCCAGTGAAAGATATTACTGTGTTCGGGATGCAAATTAAATAGCAGCTAGTTATTTCTTCCAGAGAAATACCTTGCTCCCTGCACGTTGCGCCGGCAATAGGACAAGACAACCTACGCTCGCGGATCTCAGCGGTGTGCGCCTGCCACGTGACCGGCAGAGTGGGTCACCAGTCGGGGCTCCAATCCCGCCCCGGCCACAACCGGGCGAGCGGGAACCTGCCCACCTAATCCGTGCAGTCGTGTGGCGCCGACCAAGCAGCGATGCACGGGCCGCCGCTGAGGATCGCAGCGGTCTTGCTGTGCGCCGCCGCCGCGCTCGCGGCCGACCTCGTGCTGGTGCACTACGAGCTGTTCGACGCCAGCTCGCCGCGGCTGCTGGCCGCTCTCGTCCGCTCCGTCAGCAGTATCCGCGAGACGGAGCCTGCGGTGCTGGTGCTGAACGCCGCCGGCGCCAACCTCTCAACCGCGGTCGGTGCCGACGTGCACGCAGTGGGCGTGGCGCGCGTGCCTGAGCTGGGCGTGGTGCCGTTGCTCAGCCATGGTGACGGCGTCACGCTGGCGGCCAACCTCCAGCTGCCGGAGGCGCTCGGTGACAGCGTGCGGAGCTCGGTCCTGCTCCAGCTCGGTGCGCTGTCGGTTGGCGTGGTCGGCGTGGTGCCGCAGGACCTGGCGACGGCCGTGGCAGGCGCCACCGTGCTCGAGCCGGCCGCGGCCGTGCGCGAGGAGGCGAGGCGGCTGCGCGAGCTCGGCGCCGGCACAGTGATCGGCGTGGGCAGGTCCGACGGTGAGGAGGCGGTGCGACTGGCGCGTGACGTGGCCGAGATGGACGCGCTGGTGGTGCCAGGCGGCTGGCACGCCCGGACCCGCTACCCGCGAACGGTGCGGCGGCCGAGCGGTGGCATCGTGCCGCTGCTCGAGGCGCCGCTCGTGGCCGCCGCCGGCTACGTCGCCACCACCACACTGACGCTGGACGAGGACGGCAGCGTGCTCGGCTGGCGCGGCCGCGTCCTGCCGCTGCGCGTGTCGGACGCGCCCGAGCCGCCGGCCGAGCCGCCGGCTGAGCCGCCGACCGAGCCACCGGCCGACGAGCCTGCCTCGGAGGACGACGGCAACGGCGACCAGGAGGAGGAGCCGGCGAGGACGAACGCGACGACCTGCGCCAGCGCGGCCGGCGACGCGCTGGGCCAGACGCTGGTGCGGCTGGAGGGCGGCGCAGCGTGCATGCGCACCGAGTGCTCGCTGGGCAGCGCGCTGACCGACGCGCTGCTGCTGGCCGCCGTGCTCCCGTCGGACACCTCCTGGAGCGAGGTGTCGCTGGCCGTGCTGGGCGCCGACTCTCTACGCGGCTCGCTGGCGCGCTGCGCCGTCACCGAGGCTGACCTGGAGCGCGTCACGGCCAACAACGACAGCGTCACAGCCGTGGCGCTGTCGCTCGCCGGCCGCCACCTTCGCCGCGCCTTTGAACTGGCTGTCGTCGGCCGTAACCACACCTTCCTGCAGGTGTCGGGTGGGCGCGTCGTGTACGACCTGGGCCGGCCGGCGGGCCGCCGCGTGCACACGCTCAAGGTGCTCTGCTCCGAGTGCCTGAGCCCGCGCTACGTGGACGTGCGGGACGCGGACGTGTACCGGCTGGTGACCAACAGCCGGCTGGCGAACAGCGGGGTGTTCGCCGAGCATGGCACGCTGGTGTCCGACTCGGGCCGGTCGGAGCGCGACATCTACCGGCAGTACTTCCGCTCCCGCTCGCCGCTGCCGCCGCCCACCGGCGGCCGCGTCCTCTTCACGGGCCCGACCCGCGGCGCGGGCCGCTGCTGGGACGACCGGCGGAGCTGGCGATCCCATCATCATCATCTTCTCCGACGAGTCTCCCCCAGACAGCACGGAAGGCGACTGGTGGTCTTGGCTGTATCCCTTCTCTGCCGAAGGCGACGGTGGCGGCTGGTGGTCGTGGTTAACCACGTCCTCTGCCGACAGCGACGAAAGTGATCGGTGGTCGTGGTGGACAACCCCCACCGAGCCCACTACCATCTCTTCCGAGTATCTCAACGACGGCGACGAAGACAGCTGGTGGCCGGGCTGGGTTGCCGACTGGTGGCCGCAGTGGCGAAGGTCCCGTGCCGAGGCCATCAGCACTGCCGAGTCACCTGCGCCGAGTGCCGCGGACCTCATCTCGCGGTGGAGCGCTTACCTGCCGGACGCCAGCAGCCCCGTGACAAAACTGTTCCCTCACATGGGCTCGCTGCTCGGCTTCATCGGGCTATCCGTACTGATGTCCATGCTCTGACTGGCGCTGACGGTGGTTCTCTGAGCAGGGTGCTGTCAGTCGCTGACACCTGTCTGAGCGATAACAGCTGGCAGTGCGGACCTGGCAGCGTGCTCTGTCGGCGCGCGCTACGAAAGAGGGCTGAGTTGCGCTGGTGCGACCGCGAGATACGCGCAGACCTGCAGGGGCATTTCGCTTGTATGATTATACATGGCAACATATTGCCTTGACCGTACCTATGTTGTGCACTGTTGTTCGCAATCAACTGCGATCTGGGAATGATCGTGACACTGCCCCGTAACGATTGAGCTCATTGTTTATCATATGCGAAGATCATGTGTTTTTTTGTAATGATATGAGCGTGACATTCAATTTCCTTCGTCTAGGGTAGAGCTGCGGACGGCTTGGCTCATTCAGGTCAATTATGAAAAAGAAGGCGCTGCAGTCGACTTACGGAGAGCGCTGCCTGCAAAGTCACGGTAGGTTTTACGGGCCACATAGCCACACCGTGCACTGCAGCATAGC